TTTGTTCGTCCGCTAACACCAGTAGTTGAATTTATTCTCTTTAACCAATCATTTTTGAAATCCAGACACAGTTTATCCTGCAATGAGTCCATAACATATGATCTCTCCGTCGACTGACTATAGTATTATTTTTTTAATAACAAAGATTTTTATAAAGACACTTTTTGTGTAATTGTATCTATATCATAGCACGAATTTTTCATTTTGTTTCGTATACTATATGACCATTTAAATACATAATTATTAAGTCTTGTCGATGGTATATTATTTAACCTAAACCAATGTCCGAGTGAAGATCGCCACTGTCATATCCAAGAGGAGAGCCATCCCATGTCGCTTGTAACTGCGTCGTTCGGAGTATATTTGCCTACACCAAGAAATAATCTGCATAAACATGTAACACCCAAAAGCCATCTTGACCAAATGGTAAACAACCTGTCTCGTTTATAGCGCAGGCGGTCTTAAATTAAAGTTTGTGGCATATAATTCAGTACTTATTTAAAAATAATGATTTCTTTAAGAATGAAAAACAAAGTTTTACTTTTTAATTTTCATTTAAAAAAAGAAGTCAAATAAAAAAGGTAAAGTTTGCAGTATTATTGTTTTTAATACTTTCCACTTCCTATACCCCTTATTACACATGATTTCTTCACCGGTGAAGTAAAATGAGACCACATGTGTGCTTTCTTTCCGCTTAATTTGTTTTCTGTTATAATATTCTGACAACATGCCAAGTTTAAAGTTATTCTACTGAATATTTTTAATTTTGCCTATATGTCTATATGAAAACACCCGAAAAAGTCCTTGAGAGTCCTCCATAACAGAGAAATTATAGCCGCAGACTTCAAATCACAAACATTGAAATAATTAGTTCTTTTAGCATATGAAAGGTCAATTGTTCTACTCAGGTGCCCACTCGCGCTTAAAATGCAAGAGAGACAACTAAGATCACTTTCACCAGTTTCATAAGACATATAGTGTTTCGTGTTGTTTAAAGGGTATACATCTATATCTTATGAAATATTTAAATAAAAGTTATCAACAGTTAGATTATACCGGTTCCATCATTATATGGTTGATTCCCGAAAATGTTGTAACATATAATGTCTCTGTTATTTAATACTTATGAATAATGTACGTAAACAGAATAAAATGTTTCGGACCAAAATACTATTTTGTTATTTTAAGTAGGAGTTTATCCGTTTAAAAAGAATGTGTGCGTGCGCCATTCGCTTTAAGGCAATAAATAAGCATATTTCTTTCAAACACGAGCAGACATTTTGTTAGTGCACGTACCATAAGTAGCAAGCCTCCACCATGAAATATTAACAAAAAAATGAATGGCAGATAACTATCTGATAATGCATCAAAAATAGTCCGTTTTTTGTTGGTAAATGGATGCGCAATCAATTTATCAAGTTCTATTTACGTTAATTATATTTTGACGTTCCCATTAACTGTTACGAGATCTTTAATTCAGAAAATAATTTGCATAATTGTTGGATTTTAAAAAACCCGTTACTAACAACAAAAGGAACCTGTTGAGCGAAATAAGGACGTGTAAATTAGATTTTTTAAAAAAAGAAAGAATTTTCTGCTGCTTTTTATTACTTTAAAGAAACCTGTACACAGGCTAATTAAATTTTTGCATTCATTAAAATGCCCAAAAATATAATATATATTTTAGAGGCAAAAAAATTATCATATTCGACAAAAAAGTTATAACGTTTTAAAATTGCTAGGACTTGAAATATTACCCACATCCCATTATTATTTAATTATTTTATTAAAGAGCCATTGTTGAAGTCAATACTGGGCTGAAGGCTTGAATAATGCTGCTATCTTCTTTATCATTCGTAATCTACCATAAATAGTCAAATTTGAAACTGTTTGAGATTTTATTTCAAGTATAAGATACGTGTTTGAGCCAGTTTTGACAGAACTGGTACACAGTTAATTACATATTAACATAGCCTTTGTCAAATTTTCTTAATTACATTGTATACTTATATTAAAAAATACGACGGAAATTAAATCTGTTTCATTCTCATTAAGACTTGAACGAAGCATGTTTATCTAATTTTAAGTCGGTTTCGAAATATATTCAATCATGTATCAACGGACGGTCAACCTTGTAATAATTTATTTATATGTTCACCGCTTAATAACATAATATGTTTGAAGACTAACATTAATGAGTTTTTGTTTCTTTTTTTTTTTGTTGTTGATGTTTTTCTTTTCTATTATTGCTTTGATTTATCGCACTGAAAAGTATTTGTTTCTCTGAAATTATATGCCGTCTATGATAATGTACTATGATTACGTAAAATCAAAGAAATAAAAGTTCTGTTCTGCTCTGCTAAGCGGGCATACGTTCTTCTTAATTTTGTGAAACATAAAATAACATGAATTGCATCAATTTATTTTTATACATAAATCGCCCCATTAAACCCCTGTCACACTAGGGCGGCGTTCTCACGGCGACCAAAGAAAATTGAGACCGCCGAGGTGAGCGAAGTAAGGTCGCAAACATCGCCGTAGCATTGCCTCCGCATCGCATAGAACGCCGACCGACGGCGCGCATTTTGAGCATGCTCAAAACAAACGCAGTCACTCGGCGTTCTGATAAGAACGCAGTGGGATCGCAGTAAGGACGCCATAGCAACTCAAAAGCAAAGCAACAGGAGCGCCGTGAAAGCGCAAAAGGATCGTCGTATGAACGCCATGGTAAGCCACGGCTAGTACGGAGATTGTGCGGCGTCTCTACCGCGCCTATACTGCGTGTGTATGGAGCTTGTACGGAGCTTTATTTTTCTCAAACGCTCTTACTGCGACTTTACGGCACTGTCACGGCGACCAATTCGCTCTCAAGGCGATTCTACTGCGTTCATCTGATATTGCAGAATACAGTACAGTAGAATCCCTACTAAAGACCACTCCGGAATTAACCCCTGTATTAAGACCAATTTATAAAAGAACGAGATTTTCTGTTATTTATGTAAGGTAGCATGGTCAACAACTAACCCCACTATTGAGGCCATTGATATGCCAGTCATCACCTATTCAGACCACAAGTATATTGTTATTCATCTGCTTGAATTCTCTAAAGCATGGCACTTGATGAAACAATCTGTTATAACTGTTTTAATTGTATAATAGCGAGAAAACAAACTTGTAAAGTGGTATAATGCTATTTTCTGCAAATTTATTTTGTGAATAATTAATTCATTAATTTATAGGTGAATTATGTACATGAAACAAGACCTATGAAAATCAATCTTTAATTGAATATATGTTCAGACTTAAGTTCTCATTAGGATTAAATATTACAACATCAGTTTATAGTAAGATTTGAAGGTTATAATATAATTTTTTAAACATTTTTATACATAAAAATTCAAATAGACTGGTCATGAGATATATATGCCTTGATAATTATAGCCATAATTAACACCATCCGCAATTACGACTGCTTTAGTCAACTCCTTTTGGTGGTCTTAATAGAGGGTTTATATAAAACGTGTTTGCAAGTAAAAATCCTTTTAACCATGGCTGATGAACGGCAGCAAGCTGGAATATTGCTTTGTTTGCAAGCAGTTGCAGCAGGTCATGACTATTCAGAATGAGTAATCGCTGGTATATGAATCACGATTTCAGCGCAGTGTGAGCGCCGCGAGAACGCAATGTAAACACCGTAAAAGCGCAGTTGAAGCGCAAAGAACGCAGTAGAAGCGCAGTCCGAACGTAGACAATCGCCAATTTAAACGCCGTGGTAGCTCTGTAGCAACGCCATGATCGCCGTGAGGACGCCGTGAAGTCTCAGTGTCATCAAAAATATCAGATTTTTCTTACGATCTCGCGGTGCTTAGTTAAATTTAACAACGCCGTGCAAACGCAGTAAAAGCGCAGTCTAGTGTGACAGGGCATTTAATTAACTTTTAAACTGCAATCATGCTATATATCCAGCGAAGTTTAAATTTTGTACGAACACGTAAGTTTAATTTTATTGGGGGGGGGGGGTTGAGAAGAAATGAAATGAAATACAACACCAGTAATACTTGCTACACTGTGTTTTATGTATTTTAAATTTATATGGTAATTAAAGTTTATAACGTTTGACAAATTTCGTCGTAAACGATATGCAGGATTTGACAGGCTCTCGTCGTACAAAATTGGAAACAAATTTAATATAAAAAAATAATAATTTCTTGTATATCACAAGCTAGATCTAGTTATTATTTGACCGTATTAGCAACTTTATTATTATTATTATTATTGAAAGAAAAAAACTATTATTTAGTGATACATGTGTAATATAAGTATTTTAAAAGTACAAGATATTTTGTTGTTGACATAAAATGTTTCATACGCATGGAAATAGTAAAATGAAGATTAAAAAAATATATATAGTATTCCTATTACAGAAAATCTAAATCTAAAATGTTCAAATTTATAATATTATAATATTTATAATATTAGTATAAATATAAATTGATCATATTTTAAATATATAATTATATATGTATATGTATATATATATATATATATTTTTTTTTTGCGGTATCTTAACATTTAATTTAGTAATTAATTTTGGCTATGATATGATTTATAACCAATCTATTTTGTCATTTTAAAATAGACCATAGACATCAAATTGTTAAATTATCCTTTTATATAAGCATTTCATTTGAAAATCAATTAACTTGAAAAACATCACTTTTATACCGCATAAACTTTTATTTTACGTAATTTTAACAAGCCCATCTCAAATTTAACAACTTTGAATTCAGTTGTGAGAAACCAGTACTTTGTTAAGTCGCGGATTGCAAAAATTAATGAGCGAATCCTTCATACAAAAAAACGACCAATATCTTATAACCGTTTTGATTGGATGGTAATTGGTATCGTGGTTAAATTTTAAATATCCGGATGATGTTTTTCAAATGTTTTAACCTGTTTAGGTTAATAAAAATGAACATAAAAGGGTACAAAACAGACAAATGCAAGCCTGTTCATGTAAAAATAAAACTTTGACGATATTTCATAATTGTTTTTTCAAACCATTGGCAACTTTATGAATATGTTTTGGCAACTCGTTATGGAAACTGTGGGGGATGTGTATAAATAAGAAACGATGCGCACAGTTTGGTATAGAAGGTTCAAGTTTGTGTTAGAATCTAACCTGATTTAAGACGTAAAAATGAAGCTTTCGGGAATGGTCATCGTCGTTCTTGCTGTTAATCTCTTTGAGTTTGGAGGTAAGGTGTTTTTTTTTTAATTCATTTATATAACATTTAAGGATAGATAAATAATTATGATCAAAAATCATATATCTATTGACTAACATATATCATTCATACGACAAAATTTTTTACATAAAGTTTTGATTATTAGAAATTCAATTTTTAGCTGTCATATAATATAATATTTATTTGGAATCATGAAATAAAACTATGAAGATTTCATCAATTTTTTTCAATGCTAATAAATTACCTATTTTTCTAAACGGTTTAGTCAGTAAGTCGTTAAACAAATTTATTTATTTATGGTTTTTTTTTTTCAAAAAAATAGAAAGAAAGAAAGAAAGAAAGAAAGAAAGAAAGAAAGAAGAAAGAAAATGAGTGCCGCAGCAAAATTATAAAAAAGATGTTGCTACAATACATAAATACATATATATTTGGCAATGCCAGTCTGTTTGCCATCGCGATATGTAGATCTTATGACGTAATACGTTTTTTTTTTAATTTTAATGTTAACGCAAACGAAAACAACATATACATGTATACAAAAAAGATGAAATGAAAAAAATCATGGAAAAATATTGAGTTAAAAAAAATGGTTAAACTTGTATGAAGAAAATAAAGACAGATGCTATTGTGTAAACTATTTAAAATACAGATATAATAGAAACGGCACACCCTCCTTTAAAATATCCGCCAAAAACAATATCGCAAACTTGATTTAGTCTTTTCATGAACGGTAATGGTAGTGGCCATCGCTAAAGTCCACTAGCACCAATTTAAGTAGAATTTTATACTTTAACATGAAGTTTGAAATTTTTAAATTTAGAAGCCTTTCCAGATGTTTTGATAAACTTTTTGTCTTAAAAATTCACATTGCATTCTATTTGTTTTGCCAAAGCTTTAAGTTTCTCAATAAAATATCCGACAGTACAAACGCAACACCCCGAGAACTGCACGAGGTATGATCAAAAAGTTCTCGGCCCGATATACTTCTAGCCACTACACTGACATTTACACACTATACGTCGAAGCCGATAATTTATTGAAGAATACTGACCGATTGACACGCGTTTATACATATATTAAGTAACATAAAACACACTTTGATCATTTAGACCAAATGATCAGATCCGTCTTTAAGTACCTCTGTAAGAAAGGGATGTCCCCTTAGGAAGTACATGAAGACTTCATGGATACACTTGGGAAGGAGTTCCCTTCCAATAGCACTTCCTATACATCGGGCCGAGACCTTTTTGATCAATCCTCGTACATGATTAAAATTAGAACAAAAAAAATAGCTATAAATAGAATTTTCAATGTTTAACTTGATGATAAAGAATTGTCAATGTTTAACTTTATTTTAAGTTTTTCAAGGATATTTACAATATCAAGGATAAAACTTAGGTATAAGTAATAAGAAATATTCAATTAAAAATCTGCGCTACCCAGCATGCTGAGCACGTGCTTGTATATCAATAGATAGTAAGATAAATGTTATTCAAGTTTTTTTCTATTTATACAGGATTTATTTTCATCAAATGTTATGAAAAACATATTTATCATACACCCGTGCTGATTTTGCGACTCCGTAAAAATGGTATTGCACGGCCGTGTATATGTTTTGACGTGGCGTCATTAGCGTTATACAAACATAGTGTAAAGACGCGCAAAAGTTAGCGTTAAACTATAGGCGCGTCAATGAAAAATTACTCTTATTTCACATTAAACGGTCTTTATTTTGGATATGTGATAAAAAGAATATTAGATTCGTGTAAGTTCAATACTGAATTTATTGCACTCAGAGCCAGAGGCTCGCATAATATAATTTTATTCAACGAGTGCAATAAATTCAGTAATGAACTTACACTCATTCAATATCCTCTATATATTTTATAAGTGACGGTAAAAGAAATTCTCTTTTTTGACGTCACAGTTTGAAAGACTTTCCCTTTTTGTATATTGGCTAAATTAAGCAGAAAATAGTCCTGCGAAAATAAGGAAAATGTGTTTCACTGCAGTGTAAACACGGAAAATAAAAATATGAATTTTATTGCATCAATACTTCTCAACATTTTATTTATAAGTACATTCAATAAATTGCTTTACTACAGCTATCTTATACCTAACTAGTATTATCAATTTTTACCTGTTTTAGTTTTTAGTCATTTGTTGATATATTCATTTATTAATTAATAAATCAATTTATTTATTTATTTATTTATTCATTTTCGAAGCCGATAAATCGCATTCACGTATTAACTAAGAAATCTTACCCTTTGCTGATAATCTTTCAAAATGCAGTGCTTGAAGCGTAAGAACTTCCGGAAAAAACATTTGTCGTGCGGATGTTTCTGACCATTTTAATCACCGTTTCATATATAATTGTTAAGTTCTGATTAAGTCGGTGATAGGAAAGGCCTTGGACGGTTGCTTGTATTAATAATAATATTATACGAACATGCTCCATCAAACCTAGCTAACAGCTGTATCAAGTAAGGTGCGTTTTGGCGTTCTTTAAAGCATCATGCCTGCAGATTAATGCTAATTTAATGAAAAATAAAGAAAATGTATTTAAAAATAAAATGTGAAAAGAACAAAGAAAGTAATTTACTCAATGCAAACGGCACTTACAATCCACGTAAAATTCCAAAACGAGGACAAAATATTTTAATATCGCCCTCACTGCGTAAGTTATGCAGCAGAAAAATCATGATAAAAACTGCAAAATCAATCATCATTAATCGCAAATAACATGTAAATGATTATTTGAATCTTGAGTCTTTGTTTATCTTTTTTTTTTAATTTTGGTACATTTTTCTTAAGATTTTCTTAAAATATTTCGACATATTTAGAGGTATGCATCATTTAGGTTTCCATGTTTGAATCCGATTATTTTCTAGCTAACAGAACGCAAGTGGTTTTACTAGGGTGTCCGTTCGTACCTGAAATAGTGCACGGAAGAGCAAATGACGTAGTCAAAATTCTGTCTTTAAAACACGATCATTGAACGGTTAAATTGATTTTTATTAACAATAATTACAGACGCAGAAATCACTGGATGGACAAAACCAAGTGTTATTAGCGGTGCTAGTGGAACTGCGACTGGAATTTCAAAAGCTGAAGATGTAGCAGTCGATAGTGAAATAGCAGAATTCACGGCAACCCCAACTGGAAGCGGCGTTAGCATCTCTGGTTACGAATTACTGACAACTAACACGCCTTTTGAGATGTCTGGTGCAAAATTAAATTTAAAATCTGAGCTAAATTTTGAAAGTGCATCTAGTTATGTTATTGAAGTAAAGTAGGTATCCAGTTTTGTAATTAATTAATTAATTAATTAATTAATTAACTTATTTATTTATTTATTTATTATTTATATTTATTTATTTATTTATTTAATATATATGGCGAGTATGATCGTGTCCTCACTATGGATTACACGTTTGTAACGTCGCTTTTAATTGGATAATCATGTATGACGCTAATATAAATAATGCAGTATTATAGCATTTGTTATAACTTCTCCCAATCCCTCCAGAGGCGTGCACGTCGCGGAGAAGGTCAAGGTCAAGTCATCTTAAGTACCAGAGGTGATTGGTTGACCTGTCGTGACTAACTCTGGAGGGTTGGCGCTTATGAGAGCCGTTTTTGTTATCGTCAGTATGGAACATGATGCCTGGCCAGTATTGTCGTCTCCTCTACCACCAACGTACGAAGAATGGGAATATCAGGAAGACTCAGCTTGACAAAGACGTCCCCGATGCGACTACCTTAGTGGACCGGCACGGATGCTGAATTCTCGGACATATGGTTATTCCGGCGCCGAGTATAAATAAACTTATAACTGACTGACTGATTTGTTATAAAGATTTTTGACAGGTTATTATGTCTTATATGAACGGTTGTTTGCATATATAATTCGAGCCGATAGCAATCTTTATAACGACATTATAATAGAGCAAATCTCCTTTCAATGGAGAAAAATGGATTTTTTTGTGATAAATTGAAAGCAGCCGTGCATATAAATCTATATTAACGTCACGATTATCCAATGTAAAGCGGCGTTACAAACGTGGGGTATCAAAAAGTTTAATTTGTACGACTGCTGTCAATTTATGAAAACATCTCTGTTTTTTCTCTAAAAAAAGAAAACTTGTATCCGTAGTGGTTCATGTTATTTTTTCCCCAACAACCCTTTAAATAGTTCCATATAACTTAAAAATTTGAATTTATTGAGTTATATAGTTTATTCTTTTGATTTACTGAATTTTTAACAATTTTACTTATCTTATAAAACAATTCAACTATGTTTTGTGTTAAGAGTTTTTGAGAGAAAAAAAAATTTAATAGTGTTTTTTTCTTCTATATATGAGATACATTACTGGAAACAAAATCGAAAATATCGCTGGTAAAATATCAATCAGGATTATACAATTTCAGATCTGGCACAGAATTAGGTTATGTATTTCTATGTAATATGGCACACATGTTTGGTCCTTTTCTACGTTTTATTTCGAATAATGCTTTTTTAACATGTCGTCGTAAATACATAAATTGATTGTGTTTAAAGCATCGAACTGGATTTTTTTACTCTCAAATGTGTTCTTTTAGTTGGCCCACTTCGAATACTGCATTTTCATGCAATCCAAAATAGCTACAAAAACATTTTATTTCAGAGCAACTGACACTGCGTCAGAAGTCGGTACTGCCACAGTGACCATTACGATAACGGATGTTAACGAAGCAGCGCCAGCATTTGGTAAAACTTCCTACACTGTTTGCGTAGCAGATGGTTCGGCTGCAGGTGAGTTAACCCTTTGTATGCTGGGAAAAATACTGTCTGCTTAATTCCTAATTTTAACCAATTAAAAGTGTGATGGATTTACCTGTTATTTCCAATAATAAAGTTTCTAAAAATAACTGATCGTTTATTACAAATTGTTTATTTTCGCTCGGAACACTTTCAAGTGTTTCGAAATTACATCAAATTGTATATGAAAGGAATTGAGGTTTTTGGCAAGCGGTCTTGTGCAAAACAGTTAACAAAGGCTATTGAAATCAATTAGTCAAAGGTTAATCTCTTTAAATGCTCTTTTCCATGGTTCGTCTTCCAGATTTGAAGTAAGAGTATTGGTAACCAACAACAAACTTAACTCTTTGTCTGAATGAGTGTTTAAAATTTACTTTCAAGCTTTCGTGTTATAAACTGTTCATTATCATTTCTTTTAGATATCATGATGAAATTTATTTTATACCGATGTGCAGACTAACCTGGTTTCGTACTTGTGGTACAGACTGATCATTTCTGGTTTCGTAGGGTTAAGATTGTGCCAGTTTCGTTGACCTGCCATGTTTGTCGTTCTCCTGCGTTTTGTCCGGTGTCGTGCTGTGTGCAGTTCCGGTTATCCCTTGTAACTGGATTAGTTTTACGTCGCTCTCTATATCCAGCCTCCGCCCCCCAATTAGTTTCCTAATTGCATTGAGAAATGAGACAGGGCAATATTTTCTACGATTGCCTTGTTCTTATAAAAGGATCTTTCCTTCAACATTTTACAAGTATCGGGACCGACGACCCAAAAACATGATATGATTACAGTTACAGTTTAAATAAATCTACAGTAGTACTTCTGTATTTGAGAGATATTTGCCTACTACTTAATGTAGATATGTTTTGAAATGTTTCAGGTACGTCGGTCACAACATTTTCTGCAACTGATGAAGACACAGCGAATACCATATCCTACTCAATTAACTGTAAATACCTTACTTTACTTTAAAACAGTTTTTAAAGCTAAAACAAACTTAATCCCAAAACAAACGCAAAGCCCCTGGCTTATTGCCAGTTTTTATTATGTTACCAGTGTTATGTTTTGTTTAAAAACTTCTAATCAAACTTATTCAAAATGTATCATTACTAGAATTTGCATAATTTATCCAATTGAAGTTTCATTTTTGCACTGATTAAAATTGAATTGAGTACGAGGTCGTATAATATTTTCACTTTTAAGATCATTGCTTTATATAATGTTAAAGATTTTGTTTCAACTCTCTTAAAAGTTAAACATATATAATATGGTGACATTCCTTCATTACTAGTGAAGAATGTCAATAGTTCCCCCGTGTGCATTATTTTACACAAGAGATAATGCCTTAGGAGAAGAACAAATTGTATGTAAGCAAAAACAGATCTAAAAAGATGTAGAAATTATTCTTATTTTAAAATATTACTAACATCAATTACATAATATCTTTTTTATATATAACATGTATGGTATGTATATTCTGCTATATTATATTCTAGCTGGAGACACAAACAGCGACTTCAAGGTCTCGACAGCAGATCTTGAGGTCAATACTGGGAAAACCCTTGATATGGCTACAACAGCGACGTTTACACTTGTCATACATGCCACTGATGATGGCAGTCCGGCACAGTCCGGATCAGCTACTTACACTGTCAACGTTCAGACGTCATGCAACGGGGCGGCAGCTTTGACCGTGACATTTATGACACTTTTACTGGCACTCATAGTCTCTTTAAACTAATTCTCTAAAGCTTAATCTAAATCTTCAAGCATGCATGTTACATATCTTGAATTCATTTATGAATAATATTTACATATCCTTAAAGAAAATAGTTTTACAAAATTTGACAAAAACTTTAATAGCAGCTTGCACGTTCATTAGAGGTTCTTTATTTCTCTCTATTTTACTACGTCAATCTATAAAAATGGATTATCGAATTCAAATCTATGATTGGCTATACATGTTTACCTAACAAGGTCAAGAAATGTACAATGTATTTCTCACACATTTTTTGCTCTCATAATACAGTTTTTTTTAAACTACTTGATATATATATAGACTAGAAAATTAGTACTACAGTACTTAAGGTGAGATGATTCCCTCAGGATGTTGAAGTAGATGACTATAACAGGTATGAGGAAACTGTAAAGAGTTTGTGAGCATTTCGTGGCAGCATCCAATACTAACGAGCTATGACAGCTTCCCCAATGGTTAGAAACTTTACAACAGTTACTGACAAAATAATCATAACTATAATACGCTGTTTTATTAACAACATTGAATAAATATGTATTTTTTCTCAGAACACTACATACGTTCCTGAAATATGACGTTAAATACCACCTGGTTTGTCCGCTCTGACAAAAAGAAACATTTGAGAGAAGAAAGGAACCATTAAAATTGATTAAAACTATGATAGAGAGGTCATTAATTAAAGTATTTCATTTGAACGATAAGCCCAAGTGTAGTGTGACTGTTTTTGATTGCATCCAGAGAGTCTACTCCCTTTCGTTCTTTGTGTGCGTTGTGTGTTGTTGTTTTCTTTTTCTTTTATTGTTTTCACAGTGAAATGATATCAGTGATGAGGTACAGCCCGTATCGATGTTTGATTCATTTTGCTCCTTTTTTTTTAAAAAAAAGAAGAATATATAATGTATTGTTTCTTTTTCTGGCAAATTTGTTGAATAGTTCTTTAGAAACATAAAACCTCCATAAATCTGGATTAAGTGTGATTTAAACATTTATCACAACAAAATTACATGAAAATTGCAGACTCGCTCTGATTGAGTCTGTACTCGAAACAGAATGAAAAAGTGCAACATCCCCCACGTCCCTTAACACCAGTTTGAACGGTGCTCAATTTCCAACACTTAATTTTAAGCCCTGGACTCAATGATCCCGAAGGACCAGACATTTATAAGAACACTGAAGTACGGGGCAACATTTTACCATACTTACGCGATTATTATGTCACGAAGGTATTATCAATTTTTTATGACCTTATTTATTAATAAAAAAAATTGTTGTTGATAATTTCTATATTTCATTTCAAATAATTTTATGTGTCATTTAGGCGTTATTCGAACTACATGAAGAAATCGTTCGTAAACTTTTGGTATTTTGTATTTTATGGTGAGAAATAAAATAAACAATACAGCATCGGTGTTAAATTGTTCTTTTATTTAGTTAAAACAGTGTGTCTCCAGATTCATGAAAATTTGAAAATGTTTTAAAAGGAAAATATTGTAAAGTGAACAAAATGTAGTTCACACATTGCAAATAGTGCTTACAATCGATTCCTTCCTCCTCCCCAAATAAAGGAGGTCAGTCTATGCAAAAAAAAAATTATTGTGTTAGTAATGCAGTAGAAATATAGTTATACATACCGCAAAATCGGCCATTAGTCGTACATTACTTGAAAATTATCACTCGAATCTTGCATTTTTTTTCTTAGAATCTAAGTAAATTTTCTCTCAAGTTTGACTTTCTTGAAGCATTTTGGCTCATCTGAAGGCATGCAGCTTTAAAGTAATTTAAAAAGAACGACAGCAAACATGTTGCAAAGGTTTTTTGTACTTTTCGGTTAAAAGAATATTTTAAAATATTCATAATCACTTTGGTTAAAGGCAAATTATGCTTCAGAACGAAGAAATGTTCCCATCTTTAGAAAGGGCAAATGTGGATACAAACATGTTTAAATAATAGGTTTATAGCAACTTAATGCTTATTACCACTAGAAAGTAGCGTTGATTGAGAAACTATTAATCATGAAAGTAACAAAATATAAACAAAGTACCATTTTGACTCCTATACAAAATAATAAATCACTTTAATAGCTGAAATGATTACCAACAATTAACATTGAAGCAAAAGATGGCCAAGGTAATGGTCAATCTGTATTGTTTTGGAAACTAGAACAGGACACTGAAAAAACAAAACAAAAAGAAACAACAAAACATTCCGGAGCAACATAGATCTTTAAGCCTTTAATAACCAACTTATAATCGACTTCTATTTCATTTATATTTGTTCTTGGTAAGATATGTTTATAAATAAGAGTGAGGAGCAGAAGTTTATTTGGATACAATTAAGTAATTAATTTTGACAACGCACAAGCGTACAAAGAGAGCTAAAACGTATCGTTAATTTAAAGAAACGTATTTGAAGATTTTCTTCCCTTCTATTTATACGTGTATAATTCGTGGATAAAATTTCAGTAAGTATATATAGTCAATCGCGAAATAATTGTATTCAAATTCTTTAAAGAAAAGGGTGGACATCTATTGAAACAATTTTGGTCAAAAACAATCTGTACATTCTTCTATTAAAAGCGAAGCAATACAAACAAAAGTATGTGTTTTGATATCTTCATAAATAAGCTATTTTTGTTCAAAAGGTTAAAGCGGCCTTCATTTTTTGTAAAGATTAAATACGTGCATGTTATTTTTTAGATAAATCGTTTTAATATAATTGTCAAATCAAAAGAATAAAGGTGGAAAACGAAATTTGTTGACGTTTAAATACAAAAGCGACAAGGAACACCTCGATATCTTTATATCTATCGGTCCGCCCTCTGTAAATGTAACGATTCATTTCTTCTAAGAAAACTATAGGCAGCTTTAAGAAATGTTAACCTCAACCCAGATTGATTATGGCTGATCATGATCACGACCAGTAAGTCGAGATCCTCGAAGGCTATATTTCACACAAATACTGAACAGAATAAAGAACGAGAAATTATAGAATACCTTTAAACTTGAAATAAGGAAACTATTATTTTGTTTGAAGTGTATACAAAAACATTCAGATAAAAAGGAAAACATATAAAAGTTTAAAATCTTAGTTTAAAAGCTTAGTATGTTATGTTGTTCAATAAGATGTCGACAATAAACATAACCGATTGACAATGTAAACGTCTAAAATTAAATAGAGTTAAATTAAATAACATCCCCTGAAAACTGGTATATCAAATCAGCTCATAATTTATCCTTGGCATTTGTAAATGCGTTCTTAATGCTGCATCGATAAAACTAAAATTTTATATGCTTGAACTGTCTTAACACTTTATAAATAAAACTATATAAGTTTTGTTAGTTTGTTTCTTTGTAAACTTGAAAGGTTGAAACTTGAAACTTTGTAACATCAAAGAAATGTAAATGTCAAAAATATGTCACAAATAGGTAAAGTTTGTAATGACACGGTACTATAAAAATTAATGTCTAATAAATGAGGTGATAAAAAAGTATATCTTATATTATATAATCATAGAAAATTATTGAAATCTTTGTAATTCTAACTGAATATGTCTAACTTGAAAAAAAGAATAAATAAATTATGAATGGGAATCTGTGTTCCCTGATTACAGGTCAAGTAAAATTTTGTCTTCACTTAAAGGGACTCCACTGAGGATTTTTGACATGACGGAACTGGAAATAATTTTTTGAGATTATTGCTCCATTTGATGTAGATCGATACTAATAACTTATGTGCAAAATTTCAGATCATTTTCGCGCTCCGTTTGAAAAGCGTTTAAACGATTTTCATTCAAATCGGTCTGAGTATAGCACAAACATATGATTTCCAATGTATTTATTGTATATGTCTTGATTATATTTTATTTATATTTCTGTTTTAAGTGTTCCTGTTTATCTATATGAAAAAATAAAATTTAATTTTTTTAGGCCTATAAACCTCAGTGGAGTTCCTTTAAGAATCTGCCTTTTTAAAGTTACACTATTTAGTATTTATTCATATTGTGACCACCTAAAATAATATCTACTTTCTGAGAAGTCAAAACATGTTTATTTTATATTTACAAAGAGACTGTGTAGCAATTATCAATACAATGTTTTTTCTTTTTTCAACATTGAGCTTAGTATATCTAAAGCTTTTAGCTTTTCTAATGCAATAGTATTATATGCATCTTAAGTCTAACTATTTCTTACCTATCCCTGTGCATATAGCATACATTTATACACCGAAAAAAAGTAATCTTTGTTTAAAGGCCAATTATGCCTAAAAAATGTTATTAGTTTTGTTCTTATAAGCTTTTTAATTCTGGTGTCTGATAGATTTTCCAAAAACGTTACTCATAGGCAAATTATCTGATTCATCAGTATCTGTTGCCTTTTGGCAATAAGTACGGTTATAGTGATTTAGTATTTTGTATGGAAGTCAAAATCATTTCACATTCACAGTTGCTATCTACAGGCGATAACTATCTAAGATGCTCCAAAATCAGTATTAAAACGTTTATTACACATATTTGCCTTTTCTACAAACGAAAAAAACATTCGTTTCTGAGGAAAAACGACCATTTTATAAAGACAGAAAAATAAAACTGGTTCATATCCATCACATATCGATCGCTAGTTGGATGAAACTTTCACAGGTATTGAAAACATCTCAGTAGAATTATTATATTATATAAACGATCAATCATTGATGACTCTAATCCGAAGATTATTTTCTGTTGTGGACACGGAGCTTGGTTACCAATACACACACTGTGTCTCGTTGATTGAGCATCATTACTGCATCCTTTAACTGTTAAAAATAAATTAATAATTTATTGCTCTAATCGAATAAAATTGTTGAACTGAGGTATTTTCAATTAAGAAAAGCGCATACAGAATAAAATCATTGCAACACATGACTTGTGTTTGCAATATTCATGATGGAGTAATACGCTTTAGTTTCAAAGACATGAACGAAGCAGGCAGGTGTTTCTTTAGGTCTTGTGTGAAAAGATGCTATGATATAATTTTTTGATTCTTTCACGAGAGGAAACACATCCATCTGGCTTACATACTCACTCGTGACTGAAGAAAATTAATGCACGAAGGGGCATCTGAGGTCCTCCTTGAAAATCGCCATATGACCATAACTGGTGCGACATAAAACCAAACTCACAATATATTATATTTGACAGGCTATATGAGCCAGTATTAACACTCAAAGTTTATACATTGCACATGAATGATATAAAATGTAATTCCATAAAGGCACAAATAATTTAATGCACACATGTGCAAACATTTCAGAATACAAATTTTGATTAGGATTTACCTAGACAGAAATGAAAGCGACGACAATGTGAACAGTTTTAAATCAGCAGTTTAGATTATGCAAAATACAGCGTCACCAACATCTCCTTACCCAAGCTTTCAATCCCAAACAAGTCATTGAAACATCGGACTGTGTCTTTCAGACTGGCAAACAATAATATCAGAGGGAAAAATGTATACCAGGCCATTGTGACTTAAGAATGTGATTGTGTTTAAAAGAAATTTAAGCAAGACGCGAACGAAGCAAAAAGTTCGGTTTTTACATAGGCATTAGAAGATTTGAAGAAGTATTAAAATACCGTTATCCGTGGAAGTTAAACAAATTGTTGATTTTTGTAAGAAAAAAATGTTTGGAGTAATTTTTAACAAAATAACTTGAAATAATAGAGACAATGTTTAATGGGCAATATTGTTTTGCCAGTTAACCTGTCGGCTGTGTTTGTTTTCGAAAACGTAAAAATTACTTTCTCAGTATTAGTTTTCCCAGGGTCAAAATTAGAAACCACATCGCTTTCAAAATTATAAAAGCTCGCCGATAATTGGCTGTGTGAAAGGTCGTTAGAAATGATTTCCAATTTGGTCACGGTTAGATCTAAATGCGGAGTATTATTTAGAGCTGATTTTTATCAGACTGCACAATATTTATATCTCACGGAAGTGTATTGCATTAGTCTAAGAGTTAAAAAAAATTAAAAAAGAATGAAGTAAACATTGTTAAAGTTGCATGCCTCCAGATGAGCCAAACTGTTTCATGAAACTTTTACTTGAGAAGAATGTACTAAGATTTTAAGAAAGGAAAACAGATTTTAGTCTCAAGTAATAATTTACATGTTATGTTGGATAAAAGGACTTATTTTGCAGTATTTATTACCTTATTTCTACTGCCTTTATAATACAGAAAGGGATTTTTTGACCCGTTTTGGAATTTTACGTTGGCTGCTTTATTTCTTATTTTCTTTGTTAATTTCACAATATTTCACTTAAGAATACATTTTAAAAATTTTCATGACAATTAGCACGAACCTGGAGTCATGCTGCCCCCATATTTTGACCACTTTTTGGTAATTTACATGGCTTGTAAGTGCCATTGATAATGTATAAAAGGCTTCCCTTTTGGTTATTTCACAATATTTTACATTTCAAAGACATTTTCATGAAAATAAGCATGAATCTGGAGGCGTGTTGCTTTAAAAAGGCAAACACGTGTTTTTATGCACTTTAATAAAGGCTATAGATTATCACCTGAAGAAAGTAGTCCTCGAATGTGAAAACATATGTTATACTCAACATCACTAATTCCGCGTCATCACTTATTTCACGGTAATGGCGTATTTTCATGTGTCCAGTGTTAAAATTGGTCAGAATTCACATATTTTATTCATACACCTAAACAACAATTTTTTTTTTTTACAAAATATTTTAAATCTCAAGATTTTTACGTAAAACAGAACAACATTTTACAAATTTCTGCAAAAAGCAATAATAGTTCTTCAAATTTGTGCGTATGTCTGAAACAATCATTATTTTCTAAATGTTCTTGTTTGTTGGAAAATAAATTTTGAGTATCAAAGTAAGGATAATTTTAACATTTAAAATCAAGCAAAATAACATGTAGAAATTTTAACTGAAACATGAAAAAACTGAAATGTTACACCATTACGCGATTTAAATGATGATATAATGTTTTCAAAATGACCGACATATGGTCTATGTTTGGGCCATTAAAATTATCTTTGAATGAATATATTGTTGTTTCATTACGTCATACAGCAGAAAATACTTATATGTTATAGCTTATGACAATTTTTGTATCGTAAGTTTCACTTGTTGTTTTCATTCTAGTTTCAAAGCGTTAAATACCGTGCACTAAGAGGAGGCCAGTATACATGTATAAAATTGTAGCAAAATGTAACAAATAAAGGCTTATTGGGCCTTTAATCAAAATATGGGAAATGGTAAAAAAACATATACGATACGAAATACATGAATACCCAAATCCTAGACAAAATGGGTTCAGAATATTAAAGGGGCTCGACTGAGGGTTTTTTCTTGACGTCATGAAAATATTTTTTAAGATTAATGTTTCATTCCATGACTGTCTAGACCAATGCCTTGTGCGCAAAATTTCAGGTCATTTGCTCACTCCGTTTTTCCAGAATTATCATTCTAATTGTGAAAATTGACCCTTAAATAAAGCGTTGCAACGCTTTTGACACAAATCGCGCTAAAAATAGCACAAAAATATGATTCTCAATTTATTTCTTTTGGTGTTTCTTAATTAGATCTATATTGTTTGCATATATTAAGTGTCTAGCTAATCTATGTAAGAAATTCAAATTTTATGTTTTTAGGCTTCTGGATCTCAGTGGTGTTCCTTTAAGGGTGTTAGGTATCGCAGACAACCACCGACACCGGATTGAGACATACTGGGTAACAACCATATTTCTTCATATCACACACTAGTACTAGTTACCCCTAGCAACAGATATCGGGGGTGATTTCAACAAGCAACATGCCTTTACAATCCAGTTTAAAGTATATTTTTAATCCTTTAAGGGCATAGGAGGCCATTTCAAAATTTCAATTATCGGGGATGTCTGCTATTTTCTGTTCATATAATTTTGCACAAACGCTTGAATTAAATTTAGCGTCTTATGTAACACACTCGGAAGACGGCAAATTCTCGTCTGCTTTAATTTCGGCTTGTATCCATATTCATGAAATCAGCGCAAAATAAATAACGTTACCAAACAAGTTTGTACCTAAAAACGCTGAAGTACTTGACCTTACTGTACTTGGTCAGGTCAGGTTCGAAACTGTTTGCAATGACTATTATGGCTGTCTTAGGAGGCTAAAATAAAAACTACTGGGCCTTTTCTTAAACGATCTTTGACATAGATATTCAAAGAATACAATAAAAAAAAGTTTTAAAACTATTCAAACTATGAAATGAAACAACATGTAAATGTTTCAGCACATTGCCATTTTTAAAAGAAAAGAATTCTAATTTTAAAAAATCAAGTGTACAAAATCACTTATGACACTTTTTTGACATTCAAAATGTTTAATATAATAAATTACATAACACCGATGCTGTATTGTTTCCTTTTATTTCTCACTAGAATACATAGATAATGCAAAGTTAGAAAATGCACATTGTCAAACTAATTGCCTTAAACCAATTTTACTTATTATGACGTCACATTTACGTACTGATTCAATGAACCCAATACATGTCATAATGACGTCACATTGACATACCAATTGAATTGATCCAAAATATGTAATAATGACGTCACATTCAATAGGTACAATATATGTAATAATAAAATGATATTGAATTAATAATTCAGTAGATCCAATAAAATGCAATAATGACGTCGCAATGACATACCTATTAAGCTGGAGTGTGACTAAAGAAAGGATTGGAGCACCACACTAAATACCGTATTCCGGTATATACCGGACACGGCGCTTGAATAAAATGCTAAAATTTTGCCTTTTTACCCAACGGAATGAACTTTAAAAGGTCTAATTCATCTTTTTAGACAGATTTCTGTACGATAATGAATAAAAAATGTAAAAATCGGCGAAAAAAAAAAAGATATTTGTCTATTTTCTGATTATGATTTTTGCAAGCGTCTAGAGGTACTGCTCCAATCCTGTATTGAGTTAAATCCATTAAGCTGACCAACCATTATTGTGACGTCATTTTATTGACCCAATGAAAACAATTATGAAACAAAAGTGTTGATTATATCATTAAATTCGGTATACTGATAATTAAACAAATAATCCAGAAATCTTTCAGTGTATATTTATGAGTACATTTTGCTTTTGTTCTAGGACAACAATACAATTTTTTTGAAACAACAAAAGTGAAATGAATCAAACATCGATACTGTTTGTATCTCATAACTGATTTCATTTCACTGTTCAAACAATAACACAAATAAAAAATACACATCACACAAAGTATGAAAGGGAGTAGACTCTTCGGATGCTATCAAGGCAATCTGAAAGGCAGCATGCCTCCATTTTATTTTTTTCACATCACACAAATTACCTATAACTTTGCAGAAATTTGTCTACTTATAGGGACTCCACTGAGGGTTTTACAAATGGCCGGACTGGAAATAACTTTTAGAAATTAATGTTTCATTTCATTTAGGTCTAGAACAATAACTTGTGTGAAAAATTCCAGATCATTTGCTCACTCCGTTTGTCTCTAATTGTGGAAAAAATGACCTTGAATTGAAAAGAGTTAAAACCCCTTTGACTTAAACCGGAAAAAGAGTGGCAAAGAGTAGTTGCAATTTATTTCTTAGTATATTCTTAACTTTCTGTTGCATATATAACTGTCTTAAGAGTGTTTTAAGAGTCCCAGCTGTTTTATGTAAGAAAATCAAATTTTATGGGTTTTTTTTGTGGATTTTGGACCTCAGTGGAGTTGCTTTAAAGTGTTCTCTTTTACATATAATAAACTTCCGCATCAGCAAATACATTCAAAAGCAAATTAAACAACAGTTTAGGTAATGTTTCTTGTGTGCATCCTTAAATGAAAAATCATCTCACCTTACATACTATATTTCTTATAAAATTATAAAAATACGTATATATATAAAAAGAAAGAGTTTTACAAATGGAAAACAGGCTGACATTGAAACCTTAAAGTGACATTATGCTCATATTTTCATAGTGAAGTTGAGCTGAACTGACTATATATTTCAAACAATTGACTGTTAAAATGGTGATTGACCAACAGTTCATATTGGAAAATGTTTAGGATAAAATTTAAATCTGCCTAAAATATAAAATGAACGTTAAAGGTAAATTCTAGTGGATTTTTACGAAATTTTTGTATGAATCCATGCGTTGTTTACTGTTATTGTGAAATGAATTTTCATATTAAAAGAAATTATGTCAAAATGGAAATTTGACATTTACTCGTTCACTCATAAATATACCCTTAGATGGACATAATGTCACTTAAAAGGTTATAATTTAGACTTCTAGTAATCCGAATAAGCTATGTGTCAAGATAAAGAAACGTGTCCAAAAATTCGAATATGCTTTTGATAGCTTTTGTTTTATTGAGCATTAATTTACGAAATTGTCTTTTATTACACTTAAAATGATATGTTAAACTGAATTGTTGTTGCAGTTCCAATCTTTCTGATAATAAGTGATAGTCAATAAAATAGTTATCAATGTCCATATAAATCTGCAGTTGCTTTGTGTTTGATAATCCATTTAATAACAAGTTAACATGGCAAATTATGCCTCAGAAACATTTTGTTTCCTTATTAGAAAGGGCAAACATGAATTGCATAATGTTTAAACAATGGTTTTAGAGAATGTTAGTTTTTTTACCTGAAGAAAGTTGCGATAAATGTGAAATAATTTGTCATAAAAGTAGCAAAATGTAAACCAAGTAGTATTTCGACTTTCATACAAAATACTCATTCACTATAATTGTACTTATTGCCAGTAACCAACAGCTGAAAAAAGGGGTTCATGTTATTGGCTAATGAGTTAATTTTTTGATACTATAAAAGTACACAAAAAATAAGAAAGCTTTGGAGAAATAAAAGAATTTCTGAGGCATAATGGACCTTTAAAACTGTGTAAAGTTATGTAAAAATAGTTGTCTATTTTAATAACCATATGTCTTTCAATATATTTATATACTATAAGGCAACTGTGATATGAATCATGCAAGATTAAAGAGATTTTAAACGTAAGCTTTAGAGAATTAGTTTAAAGAGACTATGAGTGCCAGTAAAAGTGTCATCAATGTCACGGTCAAAGCTGCCGCCCCGTTGCATGACGACTGGACGTTGACAGTGTAAGTAGAAGTTCCGGTTTTTGCCGGACTGCCGTTATCCGTGGCATGTACCACAAGAGTATACTTCGCTGTTGTAGACATAGCAAGGGTTTTCCCAGTATTGACCTCAAGTTTGGCTGTCGAGACCTTGAAGTTGCTGCTTGTGTCTCCAGCTAGAATATAATTTAGAAGATTATATATACATTTAATATATAAAAGAATATTATGTAATTGATGTAAGTAACATTTCAAAATAAGGATAATTTCTACATCTTTTTTTATTTTTTGTTTTTGTTTTTTGCTTACAGACGATTTGTGATTCTCCTAAGGTATTGTCTCTTGTCTAAAATAATACACACGGGGGACTATGGACTATTCTTAACCAGTAATAAAGGGATGTCGCCATAAGATCGGTAACCTTTCAACGCATATAAAAATAAATTCTCATTATGTTTGTGTTGTAGTTAAATTATAAAAAATCTATAACATTTTTTTTATAAAAACAATCATCTTTATAGTGAAATATTAAACGGACTCATAATCAATTAAATTTAATCAGTGCAATGATTAACCTTCAGTTGGATAAAATATTTAAATTCTAGTAATGATACATTTTGAATATGTTTGAACAGTTTTAATTCAGCTGATAATGCATAATGCATTAAACATAGAACAAGACTGGTAAGATTAAAAAGAAACCTAACAATAAGCCAGGGGCTTTGCATTTGTTTTAACTTTAAAAATAATTTAAAAGTAAAGTTAAGATATTTACAGTTAATTGAGTAGGTGAAATCTTAGTAATTCTTACTGAATCTGTCTAACTGAAAAAAAAATGAATATATTATGAAAGGGAAGATGTGTTCCCTGATTTCAGGTCAAGAAAAATTTGTCTTCAACTGAGGTTTTTTGACATGACGGAACTGGAAATATTTTTTGAGATTATTACTCCATTTGATGAAGATCTATTCTAATAACTTATGTGCAAAATTTCAGATCATTAGCTGCCTTCGTTTTTCCAAAATAATTATTATAATAGTGAAAAAATGACCAAAAATTGAAAAGCGTTTAAACGATTTTCATTTAAATTGGTCTGAGTATAGCACAAACATATGATTTCCAATGTATTTATTGTATATGTCTTGATTATATTTTATTTATATTTCTGTTTTAAGTGTTCCTGTTTATCTATATGAAAATAAAAAAAATAATGTTTTAGGCCTATAAACCTCAGTGGAGTTCCTTTAAGAACCTGCCTTTTTAAAGTTACTCTATTTAGTATTTATTCATATTGTGACCACCTAGAATAATATCTACTTTGTGAGAAGTCAAAACATTTTTTTTATATTTACAAAGATACTGTGTAGCAATTATCAATAAAATGTATTTTCTTATTTCAACTTTGAGCATAGTAATTCTTATGTTTTTTTTTTTTTTTTTTTTTTTTGCTTTTCTAATGCAATTTTAATTAGTATATTTTATAGTATTATATGTACCTTAAGTCTAACTATTTCTTACCTATCCCTGTGGATATAGCATACATTTATACACCGAGAAAAAGTAATCTTTGTTTAAAGGCCCATTTTGCCTAAAAATGTTATTATTTTTGTTCTTATAAGCTTTTTAATTCTGCTGTCTGATAGATTTTCCAAAACGTTACTCATAGGCAAATTATCTGATTCATCAGTTTCTGTTGCCTTTTGGTAATAAGTACGGTTATAGTGATTTAGTATTTTGTATGGAAGTCAAAATAATTTCACATTCACAGTTGCTATCTACAGGCGATAAGCATCTAACATGCTCCAAAATCAGTATTCAAACGTTATATTACAAATATTTGCCTTTTTCTATAAACGGAAAAAATCATTCGTTTCTGAGAAATAACGGGCATTTAAAAAAGACAGAAAAATAAAACTGGTTCATATCCATCACATATTGATCGCTAGTTGGATGAAACTTTCACAGGTATTGAAAATATCTCAATTGAATTATTATATAAACGATCAATCATTGATGACTCTAATCCGAACATTATTTTCTGTTGTGGACACGGAGCTTGGTTACCAATACACAGACTGTGTCTCGTTGATTGAGCATCGTTACTTCATCCTTTAACTCTTAAAAATGAATTTAATAATTTATTGTTCTAATCGAGTACAGTTGTTGAACTGACGCATTTTCAATTAAGAAAAGCGCATACAGAATAAAATCATTGCAACACATGACTTGTGTTTGCAATATTCATGACCGAGTAAAACGCTTTTGTAAGTTTCTAAAGACATGAACGAAGCAGGCAGGACTGGTGTTTCTTTAGGTCTTGTGTGAAATAGATGGTATGATATAATTTTTTGGTTCTTTCACGAGAGGAAACACATCTATTATTGGCTTACGTGCGCACTCGTGACTGAAGAAATGCACGAAGGGGCATCTGGGGTCCTCCTTGAAAAATCGCCATATGACCATAACTGATGCGACGTAAAACCAAACTCACAAAAAGTTATATGTTGACAGGCTATATGAGCCAGTATTAACACTCAAAGTTTATACACTGCACAGGAATAAAATAAAAAGGAATTCCATAAAGGCACAAATAATTTAATGCACACATGTGCAAACATTTCAGAATACAAATTTTGATTGGGATTTACCTCGATATACATGTTAATGAAAGCGACGACAATGTATATAGTCTTAAATCAGCTGTTTAAATTATGCAAAATACAGCGTCATCAACATCTCCTACCCCAAGCTTTCAATCCCAAACAAGTCATTGAAACATCGGACTGTGTCTTTCAGACTGGCAAACAACAATATTAGGGGGAAAATGTATACCAGGCCATTGTGACACTAATTTCAAGAAGCTAGACGCGAACGAAGCGAGAAGCCCGGGTTTTGTATATCTTGGCAGGAAAGCTTGACTCGATAAAGTCCCCAATGAAATGTACCATATCTACTGTATAAGAGTTAATAATTTTAAAAAGATTGAAGTAAACATTGTTAAAGCTGCATGCCTCCATATGAATAAAACTGTTCCAAGAAAATTATACCTGAGAAGAAGGTACTAAGAAAAGTAAAAAAAAAGATTGAAATAATAATATACATGTTATGTTGGATAAAGGACTATTTTTGCAGTTTTCAGTAATCATCACCTTATTTCTACTACCGAATTAATAAAGTATTGGCTATTTTAAACCTTTTTTGGAATTTTACATGGACTGCTTGTAATGTGTTAATCATTTTCTTTGTTACTTTACAATATTTCACTTTAAAATAATTTAAAAAAAATCATGAAAATTACAATGAATCTGGAAGCATGCTGTTTTAAGAGGCATTTCTAGGGTGGAACAAAAACAATTCAACGGCTTAAGACACAGTTAATTGCTTGCTGTTAATATTTGAACATCTTTTAACCAGTTATAACAAAAATTAGAAAAATCGTTTTTCCGTTAAAGTCTTAAAACTGCACCTCTCCACATTAAGTTCTAAAAACAGAATGTTTAAACCTTCCAATAGCTCAAAAACAGTTCTTGCATTTAATATCGATCACTTTCGAGTCTGCTTCATGTAACCAACCAGCCATTTGGTCGTTACCCGAGTAAGGCTGAAACCCATGATCCATGAATTGAGACGGCAGACACCTTAACCACAATGCCACCGCTCCACAAGAACAGTTGCAATACTTTTTTGTAAGTTTTAAATAATTTTTTTTAAATTTTTTTTTTCAGTTTCTTATTGTATGTAGCAATCATTGGAATATTGATCACAAAATATATTATATAATCCTCATTCGATTAAATATTCAATCCATAATCACTTGTTTTTATCATACTTTAATCATCAAGGGACATGGTATAATTAGGATTACCAAGTTATTGCAAAGATTATACAATATAGTGCTCGCAATTGATAATGCTCCGGTAGTAACCAGATTGCCTCAATGAGTTCTAAAGGCATCCCTAATATAATTTCTATAATCCATACAAAGGCGCCCTTTGAATGCAAGATCTGTTCATTTTAGCATATGAAATATTTTGCTTCAACTTTTAATAATGTAACACCATTACCGCGATTTCAAAATGGCCGACATATGGTCTATGTTTGGGCCATTAAAATTGACTTTGACTGAATATATTGGTGTTTCCTTGCGTCATACACGGAAATACTTATATGTTATAGCTTATGACAATTTTTGTATAAGTTTTTCATTTTTCATATTTTTCGTAAATTTCACTTGTTGTTTTCATTCCAGTTTCAAAGCGTTAATTACTGTGCACTAAGAGGAGGCCAGTATACATGTGTAAAAGTGTAGCAAAATGTAATAAATAAGGGCTTATTAGGCCTTTAATCAAAATATGGGAAATGGTAAAAAGTCATACACTTGTGATACCAAATACATTTATACCCAAATCCTAGACGAAATGGGTTCAGAATATTAAAGGGACTCGACGGAGGGTTTTTTCTTGACATGACGGTACTGGAAATTATTTTTCAAGATTAATGTTTCATTCCATTAATGTCTTGACCAATACCTTGTGCGCAAAATTTCAGATCATTTTGCTCACTCCGTTTTTTCCAGAAAGATCATTCTAAATGTTAACATTGTCCCATAAATAAAGCGTTGCAACGCTTTTCACACAAATCGCGCTGAAAATAGCACAAAAAAATGATTCTCAATTTTTTTCTTTGGATATTTCTTAATTACATAATTTTTTTGCATATCGTTTGGTTTTACGTGTCAAATTTTATGTTTTTTTCTGGACCTCAGAACTTCAGTGGTGTTCCTTTAAGGGGGTTGGGTATCGCAGACAACCACCAACACAAAGATGGATTGAAACATACTGGGTGACAACCATATTTCTTCATATCACACACTAGTACTAGTTACCCCTAGCAACAGATATCTAGGGTGATTCCAACAAGCAACATGTCTTTACAATCCAGCTTACAGTATATTTTTAATCCTTTAAGGGCATAGGAGAACATTTCAATCATCAGGGATGTCTGCTATTTTCTTTTCATATTTTGCACAAACGCTTAAATTAAATTTCACCGACTTATGTTACACACTTGGAGCACTCGGAAGACTATTTTTTACCGTCTTGTGTAACACACTCGGAAGAAGGCAAATTCTCGTCTGCTAAAATTTCGACTTGTATCCATATTCATGAAATCAACGCAAAATAAATAACATTACCAAACAACTTTGTGCCTAAAAAACGCTGAAGTACTTGACCTTACTGTACTTGGTCAGGTCAGATTCGAAACTGTTTGCAATCGCTATTAGTTAATTGGCTGTCTTAGGAGGCTAAAATTTAACTACTGGGCCTTTTTTAAACGATCTGCGACATAGATATTCAAAGAAAACAATAAAAAAAAGTTTTAAACTATTCAAACTATGAATTGAAACAACGTGTAAATGTTTCAGCACATTGCCATTTTTAAAAGAAAAGAATTCTAATTTTAAAAAATCAAGTGTACAAAATCACTTGTGACACTTTTTTGGCATTCAAAATGTTTAATATAATAAACTATATAACACCGATGCTGTATTGTTTCCTTTTATTTCTCACCAGAATACATAGATAATGCAAAGTTAGAAAATGCACATTGTCTTAAACCAATTTTACTTATTATGACGTCACATTTACGTACTGAATCAATGAACCCAATACATGTCATAATGACGTCACATTGACATACCAATTGAATTGATCCAATATATGTAATAATGACGTCACATTCAATAGGTCCAATATATGTAATAATAACATGATATTGAATTATTAATTCAGTAGATCCAATAAAATGCAATAATGACGTCGCAATGACATACCTATTAAGCTGGAGTGTGACTAAAGAAAGGATTGGAGCATCACACTAAATACCGTATTCCGGTATATACCGGACACGGCGCTTGAATAAAATGCTAAAATTTTGCCTTTTTACCCAACGGAATGAACTTTAAAAGGTCTAATTCATCTTTTCACATCGATTTCTAAACGATAATGAATAAAAAATGTAAAAATCGGCGAAAAAAACGATATTTGTCTATTTTCTGATTATGATTTTTGCAAGCGTCTAGAGGTACTGCTCGAATCCTTTATTGAGTTAAATCCATTATGCTGACCAACCATTATTGTGACGTCATTTTCATTGACCCAATGAAAACAATTATGAAACAAAAGTGTTGATTATATCATTAAATTCGGTTTACTGATAATTAAACAAATAATCCAAAAATCTGTCAGTGTATATTTATGAGTACATTTTGCTTTTGTTCTAGGACAACAATACAATTTTTTTGGAAACAACAAAAGTGAGATGAATCAAACATCGATACTGGTTGTATCTCATAACTGATTTCATTTCACTGTTCAAACAATAACACAAATAAAAAATACACATCACACGAAGTATGAAAGGGAGTAGACTCTTCGGATGCTACCATACATTTCCCTTTCAAGGCAACCTGAATTTTATTTTTTCACATCACACAAATTACCTATAACTGGAATTTGTCTACTTAAAGGGACTCCACTGAGGGTTTTACAAATGGCTGGACTGAAAATAACTTTTAGAAATTCATGTTTCATTTCATTTAGGTCTAGAACAATAACTTGTGTGAAAAATTCCAGATCATTTGCTCACTCCGTTTGTCTCTAATTGTGGAAAAAATGACCTTGAATTGAAAAGAGTTAAAACCCCTTTAACTTAAACCGGAAAAAGAGTGGCAAAGAGTAGTTGCAATTTATTTCTTAGTATATTCTTAACTTTCTGTTGCATATGTAACTGTCTTAAGAGTGTTTTAAGAGTCCCAGCTGTTTTATGTAAGAAAATCAAATTTTATGGGTTTTTTTGTGGATTTTGGACCTCAGTGGAGTTGCTTTAAAGTGTTCTCTTTTACATATAATAAACTTCCGCATCAGCAAATACATTCAAAAGCAAATTAAACAACAGTTTAGGTAATGTTTCTTGTGTGCATCCTTAAATGAAAAATCATCTCACCTTACATACTATATTTCTTATAAAATTATAAAAATACGTATATATATAAAAAGAAAGAGTTTTACAAATGGAAAACAGGCTGACATTGAAACCTTAAAGTGACATTATGCTCATATTTTCATAGTGAAGTTGAGCTGAACTGACTATATATTTCAAACAATTGACTGTTAAAATGGTGATTGACCAACAGTTCATATTGGAAAATGTTTAGGATAAAATTTAAATCTGCCTAAAATATAAAATGAACGTTAAAGGTAAATTCTAGTGGATTTTTACAAAATTTTTGTATGAATCCATGCGTTGTTTACTGTTATTGTGAAATGAATTTTCATATTAAAAGAAATTATGTCAAAATGGAAATTTGACATTACTCGTTCACTCATAAATATACCCTTAGAAAGACATAATGTCACTTAAAAGGTTATAATTTAGACTTCTAGTAATCCGAATAAGCTATGTGTCAAGATAAAGAAACGTGTCCAAAAATTCGAATATGCTTTTGATAGCTTTTGTTTTATTGAGCATTAATTTACGAAATTGTCTTTTATTACACTTAAAATGATATGTCAAACTGAATTGTTGTTGCAGTTCCAATCTTTCTGATAATAAGTGATAGTCAATAAAATAGTTATCAATGTCCAGATAAATCTGCAGTTGCTTTGTGTTTGATAATCCATTTAATAACAAGTTTAACAGGGCAAATTATGCCTCAGAAACATTTTTTTTCCTTTTTAGAAAGAGGAAACATGAATTTCATAATGTTTAAACAATGGTTTAAGAGAATGTTAGTTGCTGTTACCTGAAGAAAGTAGCGTGAAATAATTTGTCATAGAAACAGCAAAATATAAACCAAGTAGTATTTTGACTTGCATACAAAATACTAATTCACTATAACTGTATTTATTACCAATAACCAACAGATGAAAAAGGTGGTTCATGTTATTGGCTAATGAGTTAATTTTTTGATACTATAAAAGTACACAAAAAATTAAGAAAGCTTTGGAGAAATAAAAGAATTTCTGAGGCATAATGGACCTTTAAAACTGTGTAAAGTTATGTAAAAATAGTTGTCTATTTTAATAACCATATGTCTTTCAATATATTTAAATACTATAAGGCAACTGTGATATGAATCATGCAAGATTAAAGAGATTTTAAAAGGTAAGTTTTAGAGATTTAGTTTAAAGAGACTATGAGTGCCAGTAAAAGTGTCATCAATGTCACGGTCAAAGCTGCCGCCCCGTTGCATGACGACTGGACGTTGATGGTTGTAAGTAGATGTTCCGGTTTTTGCCGGACTGCCGTTATCCGTGGCATGTACCACAAGAGTATACTTTGCTGTTGTAGACATAGCAAGGGTTTTCCCAGTATTGACCTCAAGTTTGGCTGTCGAGACCTTGAAGTTGCTGTTTGTGTCTCCAGCTAGAATATAATATAGAAGATTATATATACATTTAATATATAAAAAAACATATTATGTAATTGATGTAAGTGACATTTCAAAATAAGGATAATTTCTACATTTTTTTTTTTAATTTTGTTTTTGTTTTTTGCTTACTGACGATTTGTGATTCTCCTAAGATATTGTTTCTTGTCTAAAATAATACACACGGGGGGGGGGGGGGGAACTATGGTCATTCTTCACCAGTAATAAAGGGATGTCGCCATAAGATCGGTAACCTTTCAACGCATATAAAAATAGATTCTCATCATATTTGTGTTGTAGTTAAATTACAAAAAATCTATAACATTTTTTAATAAAAACAATCATCTTTATAGTTAAATATTTAACGAACTCATAATCAATTAAATATTAATCAGTGCAATGATTAACCTCCAGTTGGATAACATATTTAAATTCTAGTAATGACACATTTTGAATATGTTTGAACAGTTTTAATTCAGCTTATAATGCATAATGCATTAAACATAGAACAACACTGGTAAGATTAAAAAGAAACCTAACAATAAGCCAGGGGCTTTGCTTTTGTTTTAACTTTAAAAAAATGATTTAAAAGTAAAGTTAAGATATTTACAGTTAATTGAGTAGGTGATGGTATTCGCTGTGTCTTGATCAGTAGCAGAAAATGTTGTGACCGACGTACCTGAAACATTTCAAAACATATCTTTTATTCGAGTACATCGGTAGAAGGAAAATGCCCCTCAAATACATATGTACCAGATATATTTCAACCTCAATTATACTTTGGGGTCATCGTTTCCAATACTTGTAAGAATTGAAGGAAGTAAACCTTTTATGAAAATCGTTTTAATGATAATTGTTATGCATATATTTTTGCATGAACTATGGAATCGAAACTGGTTTTAAAGTCTGTTCAATAACCGTACTTGATAAGAATAAGAAGTAAACAAAAACTGTCTACGGTCAACAGTAACTCTGCAGTTTCATTAATGTTTTTACATTGACCTAGAAAAAGATCATTTTAAGAGATTAACCTTTGACTAATTGATCTCAATAGTCTTTGTTAACAGTTTTGCACAAGACCGCTTGCCAAAACCTCAACGTACGTCATTCCATCCCATTTGATAGTCACACTTTCAAGAGCAGATTGGTGAAAATCAGGAATTAAGCAGACGATATTTAAGCAGACGACAATTTAATTTTCTCAGCATACAAAGGGTTAACTCACCGGCAGCCGAACCATCTGCTACGCAAACAGTGTAGGAAGTTTTACCAAATGCTGGCGCGGCTTCGTTAACATCTGTTATTGTTATGGTCACAGTGGCAGTACCGACTTCTGACGCACTGTCAGTCGCTCTGAAATAAAATGTTTTATAATGGATGATTCTAAAATATTCTGAGAGACTGAAAAGAATTTTCAGTCACACCGGACTTGTTAAGATAATACGGCGACTTTCAAACTTTACATGTAAGGAAGATCTAAAATGACCCTTCTTGAATATTTTCAGACACAAACGTGCACTTAAGTGGAACAGCCGCACACTAGTTATAAAGTTTCCTCACGAAAAGGTATCTAAATTCGCTGGCGGGATTCGAACCCACAGCGGTGAGGGATGACTTAAACTAGTCGCCCAAGGTTAATATGAAAATAACATAATATTATGTCAATATATGCGGAAATAAGTGCTGCTGGCAATGTCAATGCACTATGCTTATTTCAAATCAAAAGCGGCGATATAAGTTGAAAATTTTCGAACTTTCAGATATTTGATTTATAAACATACAACAAAATATATATATGCAAACTATTAACAAACGTGTTCATGTGTTGTTATTTTTGTCTAACTTTTCTATAAAGCAAAGGACTCGTGTGCGAGATATCCCCTTACTCTATGAATATTTTCTATTCTTTTCCTTATTTGATTCGTGTGTGTTAAATAGCATTTTGATATTACCATAATTGTCCGAAAATTAGATGATTATCCATTTCTGAAATTCTTAAATTTACATCGTAGAAAAAAGACCGATTGTTCGAAATTATTCGTTCAAGCCTTCGACCTTTTATCTGGTAAAGAGTACTATTTTATCTGGTAAAGGGTACTATTTAATCTTATCAAGGGCACTATTTTATCTGGTAAAGGGTACTATTTTAACTGGTTAAGGGTACAATTTTATCTGGTAAAGGAGGGTACTATTTTATCTGGTAAAGAGTACTATTTTATCTGGTTAAGGGTACTATTTTATCTGGTAAAGGGTACATTTTATCTGGTAAAGGTAAAGGGTACTATTTTATCTTATAAAGGGTACTATTTAATCTGGAAAAGGGTACTTTTTTATCTGGTAAAGGGTACTATTTTATCTGGTAAAAGGGACTATTTTATCTGGTATAGGGTACTATTTTATCTGGTTAAGGGTACTATTTTATCAGGTAAAGGGTACTGTTTTATCTGGTAAAGGTTTCTATTTTATCTGGTAAAGGGTACTATTTTATCTGTTAAAGGGTACAATTTAATTTTGTAAAGGGTACTATTTTATCTAGTTAAGGGTACTATTTTATCTGGTAAAAGGTACTATTTTATTTTATAAAGGGTACTATTTTCTCTGGTAAAGGGTATTATTTTATCCGGTAAAGGGTACTATTTTATCTGGTAAAGGGTACTATTTTATCTGGTAAAGGGTACTATTTTATCTGGTAAAGGGTGCTATTTTATCTTATAATGGTTCTATTTTATCTCATAAAGGGTACTATTTTATCTGGTAAAAGGTGTTATATATCTGGTAAAGGGTACTACTTTATCTGGTAAGGTGGTAAAGGGTACTATTTTATCTGGTAAAAGGTACTATTTTATCTTATAAAGGGTACTATTTTATCCGGTAAAGGGTACTATTTTATCTGGTAAAGGGTACTATTTTATCTGGTAAAGTTTTATCTGGTAAAGGGTACTATTTTATCTGGTAAAGGGTACTATTTCATGTTAATACTATGAGTTAGTTCAAACATCCAACACTCTATAATCCTAAGCCTATAGTAATTTTATTTGTTAATTGTATCAAATCTTCATATTGCATGGTTGGGTAATATGTTAGATTTTAATTCATGAACAAGCATGTGTTGTGCAATTTGTAATTGAAATATAGTACATTTACAAGAAAAGTTGATTTTTCTTATAACCTGTCACGTTCTTTTTTTTTTTTTTTTTCGTCTCTTTGTTTTTTTTTCCTTTTTGAACAACTTGGAGAAGTTGATTTATAATCTGAAAATGGTAGATGTTTTCTTTATGAATTATATAACGCATACTTGAGATAAAATGTAATTTTAAGAATGTTGGTTTATCTACGCACTCAATGTGCACGATGTGATGTAATAAAAAAGATTTGCGCCGTGTCATGACAAAACCATCGTAATGCGATTGCAACCAGCATGGATCCAGACCAGCCTGCGCATCCGCGCAGTCTGATCAGGATCCATGCTGTTCGCTAGCAGTTTCTTTACTTGTTATAGGGTCTGTAAGCGAACAGCATGGATCCTGATCAGACTACGCGGATGCGCAGGCTGGTCTGGATCTATGCTGGTCGCAAACCCATTATGTTGGTTTTGTCATGACGCGGCTCAATTTTATAGTTGAAAGCAAGCCTTTTTTCATAACGAAATAGCTTGGGTCTATACCACTTTATTCTTAGAAGGATAAAACATGTTTTACATGTTTATTTTTAATGATTCATTTATTACGAAAATCATTTGTTTCATGTTAAAAGATAATTATTCAAAATATATAATAAGGTTGTTTTTACATGTCAATGTAAAAACAAAAAGTTTTGTTCCTGCACATCACATCAGACTGGTGTTCCCTATGTGATATCCATGCTGGAGATTTACCCTGGCAAGGTGAGATGCATTGTGTTTTTCAAATATAATGTTATTTCAGGAACAACTATAAAGAAAATAGTAACAAGAGGAAAGGTCATTTATTAGGGAAACAATTTAACAAACATATGGCATAACAGGCACGAAAGATTATATGACTTGTTTTGTGTGTGTTTCCATGCGGTTTGTGTCGAAATATCCGTGCCTCCGGTACCTCTCAATAGGCGGTAACTTGGCAAGCCTTGTCATCGCCCATTTGACAGGTAATCTCGCGACGACGGATTTTCCGATCCGAACCGCAACATTAACAGAACATTTTGTGAGAACAAAGGCTTTATAACAGTGGTAAAGTAAGAACTATATTTCTGCATATTAGACTTGTGTTTCCATTAGTTTTACCCATGCCGGAAAGTTCATATGGCATGGGGTGCCACATTAGTGACGTGATATGATTGCAGTTCGGATCGGAATATCGGTCCCCCGGGAACACGCCCATGGGCGGGTCCCCTTTGGACAGCTTTTTGGGTCTGAACCGCAACATATGGCAGATATTTTTATTCGTAATGGTTTTTACATACATGTATTTAAAATAATTGAATAATAACATTGACATTACAACTTCAGGCTGGAGAGTAAATGTAGAAAACTGATACTTGCTTTACTTGAATAACATAACTAGATGTACTTTCAAAATCTAGCGCTGAAGATAACGTCAAACTGCCACCAGGCGAGGATATAGCGAAAGGTGTGTCCGCGGTCAATAATTCGTAACTGGAGATGGTATCACTGCTAGTTGGAGTTGCCGTAAATTTCGCTATTTCGTCACCAACCGCTACATTTTCAGCTTTAGTTACGTCAGTCGCAACCCCATTTGTAGTGCCTATTGTGCTTGGTTCAGTCCATCCGGTAATTTGCGCGTCTGTAATAACATTTATATAAATTAATGAAATAAAACTATTCAATCGTTTGAATAAAAAAGTGTCAAGAAGTATTTACGATGCGTAAATGATGACAGGTCAGTAACAAGTTCTTGGGACAAAATATATGCATATGAATACAGTTATTCAAAACGAATACAGTTATTCAAAACCCAAAAAAAATAAAATAATAAAGAGATCAATAAATAATCAATATTATCATTAAATATCAGAAAAGCAGAAATAAAAACGAGCTTACTGGTTATCCGTAAAAACTTTTTATTTGAGGAGGGGGTTGTGTATGGGAGTCTGGCGTCTGACAAAAAAATAGTACTTGAAAATGAACCACATAATGTGTTAATACATAGTTATCATATAATTTTGTTGACGCATAGGTCCATTACGCATGGTGCTATTTCAATTAAAAATCTGTGCTGCCTAGCATGCCAAGCGCAGGCTTTAATATCAATAGAAAGAGGTTATTCATTTTTTTTCTATAAATACAGGATTTATTTTCATCGAGTGGCATGAAAATATATATTTCATGAGTGGCGGTAGAAAAACATGAATTTTCTGTTTATTATATCCATTTTTCTCTTTTTTGACATCACAGTTTGAAAGACTTTTCCTTAATTTGGTATATTGGCTCAATTTAGCAGAAAGTAGTATTGCGAAAATAAGGAAAATATGTTTCACTGCAGTGAAAATATGGAAAAAATGCTTCACTGCGGTGAAAATTCGGAACATGAAAACACGCGTTTTTTTATCAATTTTTCTCAGCATTTCATTTATATGTACATACAATAAATTGCTTTACCGCAGCTATCTTATACTTAACTTAAATTATTTTTTTGTTTATTTATTTATTTTATTTATTTATTAATTTATTTATTTTTTACTTATTAATATATTTTTAAAGCCGATAAATCGCATTCACTTATGAGCTAAGAAATCTTAAATCTCTCAATCTATGTTTTTGATGATTATCTTACAACATGCAGTGCTTAAAGCGTAAGAGCTTTGGGGGCAGGGGGAAACATTTGTCATTTGCGGATGTTTCTGACCATTTTAATCACTATTTCATATATAATTGTTAAGTTCTGATTAAGTCGGTGATATGAAAGGCCGTGGACGGTTGCTTGTATTAACAATTACATTATACGAACATGCTCCATCAAACCTAGCTAACAACTGTATCAAGTAAGGTGCGTTTTGGCGTTCTTTAAAGCATCATGCCTCCAGATTAATGCTAATTTTAATCCAAAAAAAAATGAAAATGTATTTAAAAGTAAAATGTGAAGTGAACAAAGAAAGTAATTTACTCAATGAAAATGGCACTAACAGTCCACGTAAACTTCCAAAACGAGGTCAAAATATGTAAAAATTGCTTTCACTGCGTTAGTTATGCAGCAGAAAAAAAAATCATGATAAAAACTGCAAAATCAATCATTAATCGCACATAACATGTCATTGTCCATTTGAATCTTGAATCTTTTTTTACATTTCTTAAGATTTTAGTACATTTTTCTTAAGTTTGATTTTCATATAAGTGTGATTTTAAAATATTTTGACATATCTGGAGGTATGCATCATTTAGGTTTCCATCTTTGAAACCGATTATTTTCTAGCTAACAGAACGCAGGTGGTTCTACTCAAGTGTCCGTTCGTACCAGAAATAATGCAGGGAAGGGCAAATGACGTAGTTAAAATGCTGTCTTTAAAATACGATTATTAAACCGTAGAATTGATTTATATCAACCATTATTACAGAGGCACAAATCGTTGGATGGGCAAGTCCAAGTTCGATAACCGATGCCGATGCTAGTGGGACTGCGACTGGAATTACCTTAGCTGAAAATGAAGCGGTCCGTTCTGAAATAGCAGAATTCACGGCAACCCCTAGAAGCGGCGTTACCATCTCTACTTACGAATTATTGACAACTAACACGCCTTTTGAGATGTCTGGTCCAAAATTGAATTCAAAATCTTAGCTAAAATTTGAATGTACATCTAGTTATGTTATTCAAGTAAAGTTGGTATCTAGTTTTGTAATGAATGAATTAATTAATTAATTAATAAAATAAAATGCGTGTTGTCATGTTCCAAATTTTCACTGCAGTGAAGCATTTTTTCCATATTTTCACTGCAGTGAAACATATTTTCCTTATTTTCGCAGTACTACTTTCTTCTAAATTGAGCCAATATACCAAACTAAGGAAAAGTCTTTTAATTTAGACTGTAATGTCAAAAAAACGAGGAGAATGTATATAATAAAATTCATGTTTTTTCTACCACCATTCATGAAATATCTATTTTCATACCACTCGATGAAAATAAATCCTGTATTTATAGAAAGAAACGACATTAATAACCTCTATCTATTGATATTAAAGCACGCGCTTGGCATGCTAGGCAGCACAGATTTTTAATTGAATATATTTTTATTGTTTATACCTTAGTTTTATCCTTTTTATTATTTATAACTTTCTTGACATACTATAATAAAGTAAAACATTGAAAATTCTATTTACAGTTTTTTTCGCTCTATTTTAAATCATGTTCAGTTCTCGGGATGTTGCGGCATTTGACGGTTTTAACTATACATCATTTCTTGAATCATTTGATTGAAGGACATTGTACATAAAATAAATCCGACGTTATAAACATGTCTTACAAAATCCCCAATCGTCCTGATCTCAAGAAAACCCCATTATGATATTTTATCAATGATCTCTATGGGACCATATACCGTATTTATTCCAACGAGTCAACGTATGTCGTAGTTGACAAAATAACAATTTCATTATTTTAAATAGAATTTTCCATATTTGTGTTCCAATATGTTCCAATTTTTTGTTCCAATATTTAAAGGCACATTATGCCTCTAAAACGAATAAAATTTTCTATAATCTAGAAAAGGCAAACATGAGTTTTATAATGTTTTAAGGAGCATGTTCGATGATTTTCACATGAGGAAAGTAACACAGAATACGAAATTATTAATCAATGTAAACAAAGTAGTATTTTGACTGCCATCAACAATAATTGCCAAAAAGATTAGAGCAAAAGATGGTTCAAGTAATTGACCAATGACTAACTTTAAGAAAACTATAACAAGGAGAATAAATAAATAAATAAATAAATAAATAAATAAATAAATAAATAAATAAATAAATAAATAAATATAAATAAATAAATAAATAATTATAAATAAATAAATAAATAAATAAATAAATAAATAAATAAAAAAAAATAAAATAAATAATTATAAATAAATAAATTTAAATGAATCATATTTTTTTAAGTTTAGAAATAAAAACAGTCTTACCCCCAAACTTGAAGACCACTACTAACACAGTCACAAGCAAAACATTTCCTGAACTTAATAATTTTCCCGCAGTCATTATTCTCTTATACGTAAAGCAAGCGGTCATACAGATCCTGAGATCGCCGAGGAATGTGCGCAACAGCCACAGTACCCATCTGCATATATACCTGTAGCAACCCGCGTTTCTATGGCCACCGGGTAAACAAAACATTCGCAACAATTGCAAGCCACGTAGGCATGTCTCATGCAGTGACAACAAAGCCGTTGCACTGTCATTCTGTATAAAATATGCATTTTCACAGTGTACAATCGGTTAAGGCGTTGATGGTAAATTACTGTATCATGCATAGTAAGTAATTTTCTATTTTTAATTACAGTAACCTTGACCTTAACTACAAGGTGTCCAACAACAATTAAATGCTAGGTCTCCACATAAGCTTACTACAGTTGAGCTTTCGCGCCAAATGATCGCTTTTCCCGGGAATTTATGTAAAATGAAACTGAGTTTGAACAGCGATGATATTTCATTTAAAATAAATAATATGTTTTCCATAGTCATGAAAACACTATCAAGTACTGAAGTTAAGAAAATTAAATCTTTACCTTTAAAAACTGTAAAAAGTAATATTCTATTGATAAGAAGAACAAATGACGTTATCTATGACTTTTAACAGTATTTGTAACTGTTTGGTTAAAGATAAACTCGAGATATAATCAAGGAAAATGTCATTTTAAAAGGACCTTTATGCGGATAAATTAATTGATTTCGTGTAACACTAAGTATCTACTCGTAAAAATTAGTATCGCATGAGCACTCAGGCCACTTAACCCTTTACCCCATATAAACAACGCACTTTTGACCCCCCCCCCTCTTTTAGGCCTCAAATAGTGAAATAATGTCCTATTTGGGCCCCAAACACACGTTTTCGTTTGAGAAAAAGTTGCTAAAAAGTGAGCACTTTTTCGGCTCGGCCTCCCATCCAAAAGATACATCAGGGGATGCCAGAAGGGGGATGTGCCCCCTTCTGTTTGGGGGGTTTTAAGGGGGTCGGTGGTCCCCCTCATCGCCAAGAAAATTTTGGACTTGTGAGAGGCTAAAAATGACCCCAGGTCGATCATAAGGTAATGTGTAACCAACGCTGAAAAGCCTTTGACTCAATCTCAATCCTTTGAGAAGTTGCAGCACTTTGAAATAAATTTTGATGGAAAAAAATCAAGTCAAAATAGTGATTTTTGCCAATTTTGAGATGTCCCCTCGTTGCCATGGTAACAGGATATTTAAGACTGAGCATGTGGTAACAAAGGCAATGGTCCAGTCAACATTTGTGCCACGTTTGATTAGTATTGAAGCATTTTTCATAGTTTCATAGCAGTTTGAACTTGTAACAGGAGGCTTTTCAATGAAAACGGCCATTTTTCACAATATGCTCATGAGGGAAAGGGTTAAAAGAAATGATAGTTAAATGTATTCAGAACATAAAAGTTTGGTGTTGTAAACCATAAATCTTAGCCTTCTGTCTAACGTCGGTTTTCAGGCGTGCTTTAAAACATAGTGTGTGTGTGTATGTGTGCGTGCGTGCACGCGCGCGCAATTCATTTTTAAATTCAAGAAAAAGAAGACAGTACAAATAGTTTAAGATAGTCTTTATGCTTCTAAATATTTCATTCAACAGTACATAGATAAAATAAATAGAACAATATTAGGGTTACATTCAAGGTTGAACATTATTTGTGAACAAAGACCACTGCTAGGTTCTAACTCATAGGGTACAAATTTGTCTGCATGATTGCAAACGAAGAAATTTACAAAAAAATGATTTTATTAACTTAATACATATATATTTAAATCTTTATTAAGACAATTTAAGATATTCCCTCCTTTAAAAGATTAAATATCTTGAGTCCATATAGAAACAACGATGAAAACAAATCGCAATAAAATTGCTTCCCGTTGTTTCACCCTAGATATTTATAACACTGTGGTCTCATATATATAAACACTTGATTGTAAGCCAGGTGTACAGTGATACGTTTTGCATCTGTATATAAACGCCACAGGTTTTGCACTGTGGAAGTTGCAAGTTATAAAATTTTCTAAATATAACGGATAGCTACGGGCTTTTTGCAATAAACAATTTATTGATGACGAAGTAAAATATATTCGAACCGAAGCTTCTAGAGATGTATCCACGGTACATTTCGTTGCATAGATAATTTATTGACATAAAACAGCAGCAGCAACAACAACGACAAAACATGGACGACATAATACCATTCTTTTCTTCTTTTTTCTTTTATTTTCGTTTAAAACACATGTAAAAGCTATTCAGCTAGCCAAAGGAAGTTTTGAGGTTCAACCCAGGTGCCTTCCTGGTTTCAAAATGCACTGGGAGATTTTTCAGCGTTTTCCTCCACCAGTAATGCTAGGAATTTGCGTTCTGATCTTTACGGTGTCAATTCAAGACCCAAACTAAACCTATTGATGAATGAAAATTGGCTAATTTAATTAAGCATTCAGCAACCAATGTAAAAAGTAAGAATTACGTGAATTACATGAAATATAGATTTTTATTTCATTGTATATCATATACGTTTCAAAATATTTAATTAACAAGAGCACCGCATGATATGGTTACGCTGGTCTGTTAGAAATTCTACATGAAAAATGAGCATCACTCCAAACATATTGATTTCAGAATTATGCCAGTTGTCGAATTACTTCACATTGTCATGATAAGGAAGTTTCATTCCCATACCTTCTGAAATGTTTGAATAATGAGCTACATTTAAGTAGACGACGACGATATCGGCGACGATAACAACGACGACGCCGCCGCAGAATGAATAATAGCTCGACGTTATCTTCGAAAAAGACAAAGCAAAGAAAGTTTTTTCCCAGCTTTTCCAAATTAAAATAAAAAAAATGCACAAATCACATTTTTTATAAATTTTAATGCAGCGTTTCCCCTTTTTTTCAAAAGCTGTCCGTAATACCGTGCACTCGACTATTCTCAGTTCTTGACTGTAAGAAAACGGGTCTAATTGTTTAAGGAAAAATGTCTGTGTCTATTTTGCAAGAAAACCACAGAAAAAAGGGTGTGAAGTTTCAATCCATTCCCTACAGTAGTTTTGGAGATACATGCATGCAAAACCTTAATCAAAGTGTGACGGCGACTATGATCCTGGTAAAAGGACAACAGTACTCCCTAGTCTTCGAATAGTCGAGATGAAAAACACCGAGCGGCGCATCATTAAAAGTTTGCAAACAAAGTGGGTACTTTTATCCTACATAAAAATCTGATGACCGCCTTATTTATAGAGAACGCTAATTGTAGCCATGCATCCAAACCGGGGTTTTCAGATAGGCATTAGAAGAAGGATCAAAGTTAAACACAATGTTGATTTTTGTTAGAAAAAATGTTTGAAGTAATTTTATCAAAAAACTTGAAATATAAAGTCAATTTTTAATGGACAATATTGTTTCGCCAGTTTACCTGTCGGCTATATGGACAACACCATGAACGTGAAAAATACCTACATATAGTATTGGTTTTCCAAGGGTTAAATAAGAAACCGCATAGCTTTCTAAATAATGAAAGCTCGCTTATGATTTTTTGTTTGAAAGACGACCACGAGAAAGTGACTTCCTATGGGTGGATGTCATATCCTAGAGTGCGTAGGGTTATTTACGAGCTGATTTTAATTAAATTGTGCAAGCGACTGCTTGTGGAAAGTAGCATAGGCTTAAATGGACATATCAAGAAAAGAAATCTATGATAAATAAACAAAATACATAAAACACAAAAACAAAAAATTAATTCATCCAATTTTTTGACGTTGATTTCTATAAGAAGTAGCTTCCACATCGGTTTTCCAAAAACAGAAGTCTATATGTACTGAAACAAAAAAGAAACTTTCTCCAAGTTTGAATGTAGATATGTTTGTACCGTTTTTCAATCCTTTTGAAACTCAATGTTTACGTTGAATAAACATATTGGGCTTCTATACAGTGATTAGCTGACCGATTTTGCAAACACAACGAGTTTTACAAGCTAATACATGTATATACGTTTGTACATCTAAGTGGTACCCTTGAATAACTTGCACATACTTTGCGAAAGTTTCTTTTTTTTGGTTCAGTATATATCGTTCTATCTATAATTAGGTCCGCATACAAATGGCACTATCGGATGCATTTACTTGTGCGGTGACTCTCTCGTGATGATAACAGTTAGAAAAACAAAATATTGCATCTCTACTACAAATGAGAACTAATCATTGAAAACCGTTTTGTGCTATTTATAAACTGATTCTCACTCGTCAATGCTTGGATGCTAATGTCTTATTTCCTAAGTCGAATTTGTGGAGACAATCTTTATTTCATAAACCAATGTGTTTGTTTGTTTGTTTTTTGTTGTTGTTGTTGTTTTTTGTCACTATATAAAATGGGGCTTACAAAAATACTTTACAGACTTGTTCACATCAGTTACAAATGGCATTATTTATTAAGAACTAACATGGTTGCAAAGGTGGCATTGTTCTTAAGAGGATTGCTGTGGTAAAGGTGCATTTCATGTCAAAATAAAATGACGATGAAAAAAAGGAAAAAAGGGGTCAGGTTTAAATTTATATCAACGTGTAACTTTGTTATGTAAAACACATCTAGTTGGTTTTAATAGCGTTTTCTAACTGTTTTCAACTCATTGTTAAATGCATTCGCCTTTTTAGACTTTGTGATTCAGCCGTTCACTATATCAATATATTATACGGTGATATGAATACAACATCTTTCTTAAATAAGCTCAAACATTGTGGAAATTCAATGACTTTAAAAGATATTCAGTAAATTACAAAGTATAAATTTAACGTCATCCTTATTGATAAGCTAACGTGTCAACAATATAGTCTTCACTTACACATACTAGAAGGGCCATTTCAACTTCATTAGTTCTCCAAGTTGAAATGAGTCCTTCCTGATTTAGGTACTTTACTAACAGAGGACAGTTGAACTGAATTGAGTTTATTCGTGCCGCGGGGATTATGGGTTCGAGCCCTATTCATGGTCACGAGCATGTTTCTCCATGACACCAGTTCTGTTTTAGTTCCAAGAAGCAGACTCGAATAAGATTAATATAAGTTGCAAAGAACTTTTACCGCAATCGAGCGTAAATAAATATGCTTTAAACAGAGCTATAATTTACAATTACACCTGACTTTCGGATTCATTTGTCAAAACTCTTTATTTATAATAATGGGCTAGTCCTTCCTGTCTAACAAACAACGTCATTGCGCTTTGTGTTGGCACTTCATGAATTTAAACGAAAATTCAATCAATTAAATACTGTTTTCAGATTGTCGTATCGTTTCCAGTTAAAATAAATGTATATGTGTATAATTTATAAGACACCATATCATTATATGACATTTATTTTGTTTTATAAACTTCAAATGACATTTATTTATTGCTTTCATTTGAATTTCTTTTTCGTGTGCGCAAACATTTTGTAAAAACAAGTTATAATTTATTCAAACTTTTGTTAGAGACGAAAAACAAAAGGACAGCAACGGAAACGGTACCAATTGTTAATACATGTAAAACAAGGAAAATCAATTCGATCGATTCAGTTAAAAAATCGTTCATTTCATAAATGGAGTTACAAGAAATGTTCAACTTACAATAAAAGTAAAACCAACAAAAAAATGGCACATGTATATTATGTGCTGCTTTGAAGCAACTTTGTCATCAAATAATTGTTTTAATTATCATGTAAATTTCTATAGAAGACTGGGCATTTGTTAAGTTTATTAGATTTCCACCTATTCTCTTTTTAGGTGATTTACTGTGACAACTCATCACAAAATAATTTTTATCTATTTATTTATTTATATTCATTTATTTATATTTATTTATATTGATTCATTCATTCGCTCAATCACTCACTCAGTCACTCACTCACTCAGTCACTCACTCAGTCACTCACTCACTCACTCACTCATTCATTCATTCATTCATTCATTCATTCATTCATTCATTCATTCATTTATTTATTTATTTATTTATTTATAAATTAATTAATTTACTTATTCACTCACTTACTCACTCACTTATTCATTTATTCATTCATTCATTCATTCATTCATTCACTTACTCATTCATTCATTCATTCACTTATTTATCTATTTTATTTTATTCTATTTTTTGAATGTCTATCTATTATTAATCTACTTTTGTAACGGAAGGTCCTGATTTCAGTACACACGTTGCTCCCTTGATAAAGACTCGCATACATTTGTTGTCATAATTATAAATAAATTCCATTTCGTAGATAGGAAACAAGTTGTCAAGTAATCAACGTTGCTTCGAGTTTCTTCTAGCTACCAATGTCCAAATAGAAGGGAACAACTCCAATAACCAGTAAATTAAAGAACACAATGTAGCATTATGGTAAAGCTATTCTTATAATTAAAATAAAGCGTAATATTATGTATTAGTTTATTACATTCTCATAAATGTACACAATTAAAGATATACTATGCTCATCCTTACGTTAAAATATAAAATCACAGACATTTATTGAAATCTGTGAAATTATTACAGAACATGTCTTATTTGAATAAAATAATGAAAATATTGGAAGCTGAATTCCCTATTGCAGGTCAAGTAAAGTTGACCCTTTCTTAAAATAACCTCTAGTTGACACTATATATTCATATTGTGACGGCCTATAGTTTGTAGAATTTGAAATATAACATATCTACCTTATGTGAAGTCAAAACATGTTATATTTACAAAGAAACTGTGAAGCAATTATCAATATTTTCAAATGTTTCTAATTCTGAGCATATTATATCTTTAAAATACATATAAAATACAAAATGAATACTTACTGCTAGTCTATAAGATTTATAAGAGACTAAAATGTTGAATTACTATTTACATATAAAAATAGAAAATACCTTTGCTAATTTGAACTGTGAACATGTGATGAAATGAATCTACTGCAGTAAATTTAAATACTGGTCTACCTTAAATATTCCATAAAGAAAACAATTTTATAGTCATATTTAGTGAAATCAGGTTTAGAAGATTATTAGCAAAGGCATTTTCTGGATAAAACATCTAAAAACACACAAAAAAGTAAAAAAAAACAATAATGTTAGTTGTATAAAATTACTTTTCTTCTACTCAGTATGTTAAAACAGGTTTCGGCAGTTAAAAATACAATATCTGCATTAGAGAGAATATATCCTACTTTATCAATGTCTGAGAGGGTATCAAAACCATTGTTTTGCATTTGCGTTTCTCGAAACATAACGATAACAATCTATATACATGTATATTACGATACAAAGAGGACGAAATATGAAAGAAAAACATTTAAACCTATAATTACTAATTTTAAATCAAATATGGACATATTACAACAGGGTAGAATGTAAATTTATATTTTTAAATTTCGACACTTTTTAAGGACAACACTTTGTTTTTTAGACAATAAAAAACCTGACCTATCAATTTATTATCTAGGGTTTGTGAAGTCAACCTTTAATCACCAAGGTCACATTAGATTATCCAGTAAAACTGCTAGAGTAAAAACTCAAGAACACTTGTTTGTTTCAAAGCGTCAAACTAAAATTTTGACAGAATTACTGATATATTATACAAAGACGACAAATATGAAAAAACAACATTTCAACTTATAATTACTAATTTTTTTTATCAAATATGAACATATTACAACAGGGTAGAATGTAAATTTATATTTTTATGATCCGACACTTTTTAAGGACAACATATTGTATAAGAAATAAAAAAAGCCTGACCTATCAATTTATTGTCTAGGGTTTGTGTAGTCAACCTAGAACGGTCACGCGAGATTATCCAGGAAGAGCACAAAAACACATGTTTGCTTCAAAGGGTCAAACTGTGAAAGTTTGACAGAATTACTGATTTTAATTTTTTTATTGGGTTTTAGGTCGCAGCAACGCAGTATAGGTCATGTGGCGACTTTCTAGCCTTATTAGTGGAACAAACCTTCGTATAACAATAAGGAACATTAGTAGAACCACCAACGTTCCATAATCTAGCAGGATAAATTCCACTTCTAAAAGAATCACAAGTCCCTGTCGGGATTCGAACTCAATGCGGTGAGCGGCAAGTGGTGTGAAATCAGCGACCGAAACGGCTCGGCCACTGACGCCTGAATTTCTAATATATCAACCTTCTCCAAAGTAAAAAAGTTACATATGTAAGATATATTGCTATAATGAAATTATTGTTGCATGTATAAACTGTTCGTCATATAGTTTGTATATGTTTGCCTCATGGGCTTTTAAGCCTAGTGATTCTGAATTAAATAAACTTTTATATCATAAAGGTAGTTGCATGCATGTTTGGGCTGATTCAAGACTTCTGTGATGAGCAGTTAGAAATTCGAAATCAGCGACATGAACCGCTTTTGCAAGCATGTTTTTGAATCTGACAATAGATTGATAACAGGCTATTTACATTTCTTATTTCTTGATTGATTTCTCCACCTGCGGAAATATAAACTTTTAAATTTCTACATTTTCCAAGTTTTATTTACATTGAGTTTATTAAAAGATAAAAGAGGAAATACACGTTGATTTATATATATAGTAGATACAATAACCATGCACAAAGCTGGAGGCAATAAAAACAAGAATAAACACATTAATTAAACAAAGTCAAGCAACGAATTATATGAAAAGATAATATAATATGCAAAAAAATTTGAAAATATGGTTCTATAAATTATTTTTTAAAAAGTTGACAATCTTTCGTGTAAATGAAATGAAACAAGAACAGCAATAAAGATTTAAATAAAGAATTTTCATTTTTATATTGGTGACATATAAAAAAGCAACAAACATTTTCTTCTACAGCAAAAGAAAATTTTAAATAGGTATAAAGGAGATTGAAAATCGCAACGAAAATGATTTCATATAGATGTATAGTAGATTTATTGTAACAAAAATGATAAAAGGCAATGGAATGAAGGTTGTTGAAATCGAACATAATTCTTTGCGAGTTTCGGCCACGTCCGGAAATTGCATTAGTATATTATTAAGAAAATTTATTAAGAAATTATATTTCACTACAAAGTAAACCTTGAAATACATAATAAAAACATATACGAGGTATATGAGAGGTTTGTTAAAAAGGTATTTCATTATTCTACATGTACAGCTATCTTATCAATGGAGCAAGCTTAGCATACTAATAATTCCTCGGTACCTCCTACTTTTCCCTTAGCATATACCTGTTGCATTCAACCGATATATACATGTATATCATCACACTTATGTAGAAATGCTGGCATACATTTTACAAATAGATTGAAATTTGCCGGAGCATCCCAAGTCATTCCACATCAACTGGGGTGTTATTTCCGATTATTACACAATTCTGGCGGGTTCCTCCGTCCGGTTGTCCTGGTCTAAAATTTCTACAAAAACAAAAAGACAAACGTGTAATTCATGTTATGATCTTTAATTTGGTATAGAATTTATTTGTTTCTAAATGACTATTTATTTTATCAGATTGAAATGTCCAATGATTTCTTGCAAATGTAAAAATATTTTCCTTAAATTAGATTGACATCTCAAATCTTGCACTACTTTATTCATTTCTCAAATACACAACTATAGCTAATGCGACGTTATATAACGACAGATTGTACAAATATTTCCTGGTTTAGTGTACATATTTACTGATTAGAAGAAACACCAATAATATTTTCTTTCTCAGTCGGATTATGTCTGTATCCTAATGATTAAAAGTACATAATAATATATTTGAAAATGTCATATACTAGAGTTGTCGAGTAACATTCTTCGAAAATGACATTTGCTTTGAACGCTGATCCACATTTTACAGTGCCGTGTATTGCTATAAATTTTGAAACATGTTTCCGTTACCCATGCCGTCCATCATCTATCAATTTCATTCTACGCAATTTAACATTAAAATGAGTATTCCCTGGAGATTTACGTAATTTTATACAGTAAACTCTGCGTATAATGATATTCTTAGGGACCGCCGAAATTATATCGATATATTCTGATATTGTTATATCCAAGAGGCAACCAATTTGTGTGTCAGGTCCGCGTGAACAGCATCGTTATAAGCGGTATATCGTTATAAGTGGAGTTTGTAGTTGACTCAAATAGAATTAAATAACATAGTAATGGAATCCCTAAAGAAATCCTTCAACGGCAAAAGTGATAATATTGCAGAATATAACCTGTTCATGGACGGTAGTGGTCCATGCTACCGTCCAAGCTCAATTGCTCCGGTTTAAGCAGTCTCAATCATCTATACATGGCAATTATTTACTCTGTGAAATTATCAAAATATCATTTTTTCGGATAAATCAGTTATTCACTCAAAAACATAAAATAAATAGTATTCAGTGGATATAATGTGTTTTTCTCAGATCACGTGTATCTTTCCGCGATGCATTGTAATTGTTGTCACAAACATGATGTGATCAGAAGAGCAGCCACAGTCTTTGGTTATTCTTTTTAAGTTCATTTTGGTATAAGCCCAAGAGTAACAAATGATGCCAGTTTTTTTGATAGTAGTAAAATATTCTCGTGAGTAAATGCGTCCTGTTAAGTTGAATATTAGAAAAAATGTATTTTGGAGTAAATGTGTTCAGCTTTGTTGGATACAACAAAATGTACTTGGAAGCAAATGAGTCAAGCTATGTGGACTTATAGAAAACAATAGAAAAAATATACTTGGGTTTTAATGGCACCAGCTATGTTTTTTGTTTGTTTGGGTTTTACGTCACACCGACACAGTATAGATCATATGGCGACTTTCCAGTCAAGACCTCACCAGCTATGTTGGCTACTACAAAAATATACTCGGGAGAAAATGATTCCAGCTATGTTGGATACAATAAAAATCTACACAGACCCAGCAGCTATGTTGGATACTACAAAAATCTTCTTGGGAGTAAATTATACCAGCTATGTTGTATACTACAAAAACCTAATCGGGAGTAAATGATACCAGCTATGTTGGATACAATGAAAATCTAATCGGGAGTAAATGATACCAGCTATGTTGTATACTACAAAAACCTAATCGGAAGTAAATGATACCAGCTATGTTGGATACAATGAAAATCTATTCGGTAGTAAATGATACCAGTTATGCTGGATACTACAAAAATCTACTCGGTAGTAAATGATACCAGTTATGCTGGATACTACAAAAATCTACTCGGTAGTAAATGATACCAGGTATGTCGGATACTACAAAAATCTACTCGGTAGTAAATGATACTAGCTATGTTGGATACTACAAAATCTACTTGGGAGTAAATGGAACCAGCTATGTTGGATACTACAAAAATTTACTCGTGAGTAAATGATATCAGCTATGTTGGATACTACAAAAATTTACTCGTGAGTAAATGATATCAGCTATGTTGGATACTACAAAAATATACTAAGGAGTGACTTATACCAGCTATGTTGGATTCTACAAAATCTCTCTGGGAGTAAATGATACCAGCTATGTTGGTTACTGCAAAAATCCACTCGGGAGTAAATGATACCAGCTATGTTGGATACTACAAAAATCAACTCGGAAGTAAACGATACTAGTACAAAAAGCTACTCGGTAGATATACTAGGAAGTTAATGAGTCTAAATAAAAGATACAATGTTGAATTGTTGAAAATGTACTCGGGAAGAAAATGTTACAGCTGTGTTTGACTGTAAAATATGTCCTCGGGATTAAATGATAATAGTCATGTTTGATAGCTGAAAATGTACTCAGGGGTAAAAGACAACATCTGTGTTGGAAAATTAATTATGGAGGCATTTTATCATGGAAAACAATATAAAATCATTTTAAATAAGTACATACGTAAAACTAGCAGATTGACCTGTTCTCAATGAAACCCATGTTCCTTCTGTCTCCTCATCAGAGATTCCAATCCACGTCATCCTATCGATTTGTAAATTTTCAACGACAAAAGAATTTTCTGTTTGACTTGTAAAGTCTGCCAAAGATGCCCCGACAGAATCACAATAAGCACGTGCTTCATCGAAATTCTTCCCCTCATTTACAAGCAAGTAGCAATATGATAGGAATCTTATCCAACCTGTTGGACAAAAAAAAGTGTTAGCTTTTAATGATTCTATTTCTGTTTGCAGTGTGTTTAGCATCGTTTCTATCCTCTTGAGATTCAAATTCATTTGATCTTCCATTTGTTCATTTTTCTTGACAACAGCGTCATTCATATCCTTGAGTCTTGAATAGTTTTTTGTCACCTGATCATTTTGTAAATCAATCTGATTTGAAAGATCTGAACACTGCCTCTTTAACAAATCGGTATATTCACTTAACTGATTAGTAAGTTTTCCAACTTGATCCCTTGTCCATTTTTTCTCGCTTTCGATTCCAAGCGACACCAACATTTGACTTTGAGTCTGCATTTCAATGATATCTTTTGTATTTACATTTGTCTTCTCACCTTTTTCTTCCCCATTCATGTTTTGAGGACACTTCTGATCATTTAGATGATGGAAAGAATCATTTATGTCCTCGTAATTTTGTTGCAACATTGTAAACATTTCATTTGCCTGTTCGTTGTCGGTATTCATACGTAATTCTACCAAGCCAATTCGTTTTTCGAGCACGCTTAATTTTCTCCTTACATTAGCATCTACGGCCAGCGTTGCTGTTAATACCAGCACAAACATGAGCTGTTTAAGACAAATTTCCATCATTATATTTGTCCTTTCGAGTGAAATATAATTATATTAAAACGAGCAAGATTTATCTTATGGTTTAACGTGCGACACTATATACTTGATTTTACAAAAATGACTAAAGTGTAATCAAAACATATTTCCGCTACTTTACATACCACTTGAATGCTAGTTGTTTTTTCCTTCTGTAAGTAACGCCCTCCGTCGTTGATATTACTGTCATAGTTTTACAAATGCTGCGAAGTCAGCGATTCTTCTCTTCTTGAAAAGAATATTTTTACTTTGTCGGCGTTTCGAACTGACAAAATTATCAATTTAAAGGGTGTTTTATTTCATTTTATCCATGAAATATTATTAGTACATATTTTCGTTTGTGTGAAATATGGAATATATTTTCACGAAACATGATTAAATGCCACGCATTTGCAATTGTACAGCGTGCAGTAATATATATGTAAAAAAACTAAATATAAATAGTTTAAACAAGAACCGGTTGAACCGGGTGATGCTCTCCGAGAAGGTTCTGGACACAGGAAAGTATAAAAAAAATGAACAAAGGGCAAAAAACTCCAAAATTAGGCAAAGCGGAGTTATGTTTTTTTGCACTGCACTTCTATTCAATGAGATCTATCTATCTATAAAGTTTCCTGATGATATCAGAGTTATGTCCCGGGTAAAATTCAAAGTGTAAAAATGAACAAAGAGCAATAACTCCAAAATTAGACCAGGCTTTCTTTAGGTTCTTTAAGCATCGCAGTTCTATCCAATTATATCTAGCTACCTACAAAGTTTCATGTTGATATCTCTAATAGTTTTAAAGTTATGTCACGGACAAAAGTCAAAAAGTAAAAATAAACAAAGGGCAATTACTTCAAAATAAGGCAAGGCAGAGTAATGATTCTTAAGCACTGCACTTCCACCCAATGAGACCTATCTATCTACAAAGTTTCATGTTGATATCTCTTATAATTTTAGAGTAATGTCCCGGACAAAGTTCAAAGTGTCAAAATGAACAAAGGGCAATAACTCCAAAAGTAGGCAAGACAGTGTTACAGTTCTTGTGCACTGCAAACTTACTCAATGAGATCTATCTACCTACAAAGTTTCATGTTGATATCTCTCATACATTTAGAGTTAAGTCCCAGAAAAAGTTCAAAGTGTAAAAATAAACAAAGGGGGATAATTCAAAAACTAGGCAAGGCAGAGTTAAGGTTCTTGTTCACTGCACACCTACTAAATGAGATCTATCTACCTACAAAGTTTCATTTTGATACCTATTATAGTTTTAGAGTTATGTCCTGGACAAAGTTCAAAGTGTAAAATAAACAAAGGGGAATAATTCAAAAATTAGGCAAGGCAGAGTTACGGTTCTTTAGCACTGCACACCTTCTCAATGAGATATATCTACCTACAAAGTTTCATGTTGATACCTCTTGTTGTTTCAAAGTTATGTCCCGGACAAATTTCAAAGTGTAAAATAAACAAAGGGGAATAATTCAAAAATAAGGCAAGGCAGAGTTACGGTTCTTGTGCACTGCACACCTACTCAATGAGATCTATCTACCTACAAAGTTTCATGTTGATACCTCTTGTTGTTTCAAAGTTATGTCCCGAACAAATTTCAAAGTGTAAAATAAACAAAGGGGAATAATTAAAATATTAGGTAAGGCAGAGTAACGGTTCTTGTGCACTTCACACCTACTCAATGAGATCTATCTACCTACAAAGTTTCATGTTGATACCTCTTATACTTTTAGAGTTATGTCCCGGACAAACTTCAAAGTGTAAAAATAAACAAAGGGGAATAATTCAAAAATTAGGCAAGGCAGAGTTACGGTTCTTGTGCACTGCACACCTACTCAATGAGATCTATCTACCTACAAAGTTTCATGTTGATACCTCTTATACTTTTAGAGTTATGTCCCGGACAAACTTCAAAGTGTAAAAATAAACAAAGGGGAATTATTCAAAAATTAGGCAATGCAGAGTTACGGTTCTTGTGCACTGCACACCTTCTCAATGAGATCTATCTACCTACAAAGTTTCATGTTGATACCTCTTATACTTTTAGAGTTATGTCCCGGACAAGAAAAGGGGACGGACGGACGGACGGACGGAAAGACGGAAGTTCTAACATTTTGGGTTTAGGTGCTATTTTCTTTGTTATTTTCTTTGTTTTCTTAAGGGCTAGTAGCCCATAAACCCTTTGATCACGGAATGAACCTGTTGATCTCTTTTGTTCTCTTTACTGTTATAAAGCCCCTAAACCCAAAATGTTTGCTCGGACGGACAGACGGACGGACGAACGGACAAGGCGACGACTATATGCTCCCCCGAAATTTTTCGGGGAGCATAAAAATGAAATAGTAGTATTATAATAATAATGTTAATTCATTAAATCAACAGCTTTAATGAACAAAAAGAATGATAAAAATATATATAGAATCACGAGTAAAAACAGGACACTTACTGGAAAAAAAGAGATTTAAAAATGATAATCACGTGACAACAATTAAAACAGAACAAAAAAAGGGAAATATCTTAACAAGGTAGCTAATACACATGGAAATATGATAGAAGGTTGTGTAACTGTTCCAGCACGGCATTCAATTTAAATACACCGCATTACTCTCCCTTTAAGTGAATATTAGTCTACAATGGGCACTTTTTCAAGAAATGTTTCAAAATTTGATAAAAAAAATAAAATAGAAATGTGTCATTTTGATTATCCTTATAAAATAATACTGGACGATCAAGTGTTGATAAAGTTCTAGTTATGGACATTTATATGATGAATGATAAAATTTCATTCTAGAACACTACTATTATCTACTATATAAATAAAGGGTTTATCGGATCATGTATCTCATACTTGCAAACAGCATCCATGTATACAATTCGTTTGTTGTGTATACTAAATTCTATCGCAGTAATTATTAAATGTATTACAGACTTTCCGATATAAACAAAATCACTTAAAGAAAAATTGCCATCGTCGTCAACGATCATTATGGAATTATCATTATTATCTTCAATTATTTTATTGTTATCATGAATTATTATTGTTATTATTATTATTATTATTGTCTTCAATTATTTTATTATGATCATGAATTATTATTATTATTATTATTGTCTTCAATTATTGTATTGTTATCATGAATTATTATTATTATTATTATTATTATTATTATTATTACTATTATTATTATAACTTAAGTATTATTATTATTATTATTATTATTATATTATTATATTATTACTAAATTATTATTATTATTATTATTATTATTATTATTATTATTATTATTATCATTACTATTATTTTTATTATCATTATTATTATTATTATTATTATTATTCCATTTTTATTCCATTTTTATTATTATTCTGTTTTCATTATTATTCCGTTTTGTTTTCATGATTATAACAAATATTCGATGCTGATGATGTTGTTGAAATTATGTATTGTTTATTTTTTATTATCATTATTCATATTATAATTATTATAATCATCGTCGTCGTCGTCGTCGTCGTCATCATCATTATTAGTATTATTATTAACATCATCATCATCATCATCATCATCATCATCATCATTTCGTTTTCGTTTCCATTTTCTTTCAGTATTTTATAATAATCGTGAACTATTATCATTTGATGTTGATGATGTTGTTTTTGAAATAACTGTATTATTATTATCTTTTTTTATTATTATTATCATCATTATGATCATTTTTTATATCATTTTATTATAATTATTATTATTATTATTATTATTATTATTATCATATTATTATCATCATTATTATTATTATCATTATCAATCATTATCAATTATCAACATCATCAGCATCATCATTGTCATTATCATTATTATTATTATCATTTCGTTTTCATTTCTATCAGTATTTTATAATAATCATTATCATGAATTATTATCAATATTCTTACTATTACCATTATAATTAGTATGTCAATTATCAATTACCAATATTTGACATTGTTGTTGTTGTTGTTCTGGTTGCATTTATTTTATTAATGTCATTTCATTATCATTTTTTATCAAGATCTTATTATTTCATTATCATCATTTTATTATATCATTGCTATTATTATTATCATTGCTTATTGTTGCAATTATTTCATTACTATTATTTCATTATCATTATTATAAATATCTTATCATTCTAGTTTTGTTGTTATTATTGTTGTTATTTATTTTTGTTGTTGTTGTTTTTGTTGTAATCGTTTTTATCATTATTATCATATGAATATTATTTTCTTATCATAATTATTTGTTTTTGCTGATGTGTGGCAATCATCATCATTATTTTTTCATTAGTTTCATTTGTATATTTGTATGTTATGGTTACATCTTTTACATTTATTACGTACATTTGTCGATCTCTGAAGTTGACCCCCGTGCCATTCAATTCTGTGGTTTCGAATCTTAGAGCTGACGATACAATCTTTAGAATACAATTATCAAGAAAAAAACTATTAAATTGTTGTTTTAACTGTCACAGATGCGAAACGCGCATGGTTTACCTTCGTCGTTATATTTGTGGCGACGGCGTTTTTACTTGTTTTATATGACGTGTTTAACAGACCAAAAATGTAAAAATAACTTGCGTTGCAAGTTTTTTGACGCTAAAATTTACTTTAATCGGACTACAGCTAGTGTATGCTTTTATGTTCAGTTTTATGCTTTTATGTTCAGTTTTATGCTTTTATGTTCAGTTTAATGCTTTTATGTTCAGTTTTATGCTTTTATGTTCAGTTTTATGCTTTTATGTTCAGTTTAATGCTTTTATGTTCAGTTTTATGTTCAGTTTAATGTTTTTATGTTCAGTTTAATGCTTTTATGTTCAGTTTTATGCTTTTCTGTTTAATCATGTAAACTCTCGTCCAATTCGAAATAACTTGGTATTTTCAAAGAGCAATTTTCACGATAAATCACAACTGATATAAGCTATTTGACACACAATTAAACTAAACGAATTTAAAACAATTTAAAAGATACAGGAAGCATCAGAAGTCAAAGAACTTGTAAGCAAAATCTTCCATCGACCTTCATTCCATACATTATTGCTTTGTCTAATAAATCAAGAA